GTACAGCGGAACCTTGTTAGTCTGGACACTTTGCTTTGTTTGTACAGTGGAACCTTGGTAGTCTGGACATAACGGATTTGGTGCTCAATCCTAATATTTTTTTATAGACCGAAATATGTCCTCTTATTTTCCATGCACAGATGGACTTTTTCTACTTGATCTTTGCCAATTTCGACAACGACCATTTAATCCCTTGAGGGAACAACGTTTCACAACAAGGTTGATTTTGTCGGCCATTTTCGCAAGAAGGTCGGTTTGCCACGTGACTAAACGTGATGCCAACAATAAAGTCATTCGCAACAAATACTCTTGGTTATTTTGCTCCATATATACAGTATCACAAGGGGCAAGGAAACTGATGTTGGTTAGCGAGGGGGCAAACGAAACGAGTTACCCACCACACCCAGACATGGCTCGGGGGTTTGGTGGGTGGGTGAATTTTGAGCCTGTACCATAAAATGTCCTATTTCGGAAAACGTCTTCAGTTGTTTTTATGGATTTTTCACATACTTCGCAAGACAACAACTAACTTGCGTGATGTACTTTATAAATTTCACCAGTAATTTAAGGTTCCCTGTCCTACTGTAGTGTTTTTTCCTATCACGATACAGTAACCTCCCCTTAAATTCCATTTGGATGTATATAGCTAGACAACTTTCGTTGACCAGGTGGTAGTTCAATCGATAAGAGCGATAGTATAACAATTTTAAGCCAATGGTTCGAATCCCGTTCTGGCCCCGCTAAACTTTTACAACCAGAATACTTTTTGTTTATTTATATTTTGTTAAAGTCACAATAGGTATGATTTTCCTTCCAGAAAAGATTTATCAAAGATATAGTCATGCTGAAAAAAACAGTTTTGTGTGCACAGTAACAGTTTTTTTGGCAACTTTTTCTTGAAAAGCAGATTTGTTGATGCAAGGGAGGTAACTCATTATCGTAGAGATGTTTTAGTATGGAAACTGCGGTGAAGTGTAACAGGACCAGCCGAAATTATACATGAATCCAATCTTATGCTAAAGCCTGAATCCCTTGCTCCAACAAATTGTATTATAAATAACTAAAATAATGCGACACCGTGAAAAAGTTAAGTTTTGGCACGATCTATCGTCACTGTACCCAAATCGGGACAGTACCCAAAACTTATGGGAAAATGGCCAAAGTAGCTGTCATTCAATGCACAGAAGTACTTTTATGTATTCAGTTTTCATTTGATAATACCAGTCTAACTATATATACGCTTTATTGGCTGCTGATTATCGTTACATGGACCATTTAAAGGTAAAAATAATTACCAAAAACAAAAACTTTCCCGATTAACGTGCCGTGCGACGCTATTTATGTGGATATCATTTTCAAAAGTCTATTTTATCAAAACTAATATGCTAGTTTGGAGAAGAAATTTGATCAGAACCCCGTTTGACTCTAAAATATTTGAAATATGTCTACTTTTCTGCTGATATTAATTAATCGTTTATACCCAAATATTAGCCAAAATACCGAAATGTCCATTTCAGGGTACGCCAGTTCAAGGGCCTACGTACAATATGTAACCTTGATAGTATTTTGCATTCTATGTATAGAACCACGCGCCTAAAATATCAATATCAATTTAAGAACACATACTTTTTATAAAACATGCGGGGTTTTTTCAGCATCTTAAGACTTCTCGCTCTGTTTCAAATTTAAATATTTTAAAATGTGAATATTGAAGTTATTTTGTGCGCATTGAAATTCTTTGGGGACATTTTTATAAAATGTTTGCTCCAATTGTTTTTTTCCATTGGACATTTCCTCTCTTGAACATTGTTTTATACACACGTTTGTGTACTTCCATTTCCTTTTCTAATTATTTACAACGTGTGTTTATTGCACCACAAGGAAAGGCAGACAAACAACGTTATACGGAAAACTAAAACCCTCATGTTGATAATGTTAAGTTCGGGAGTTATCATCAAATTTTGGGTGCGTAGAGTTTTCTGTAATTTAAGTCATTTAAAAAGTCAGGAACTTTTCTTTTTGCGGCTTTGATCAAGAAAGTTAATACTTCATTTATTTGTTGAGATAGTTGTTGAGAAATGCTTTCCTATCTATAAATCAATTTATCATATGTCGGTGGGTTCTTCATAATTCACCATCCTTTCCCCAAAATGCAATTTTCTCTATTATACATCTTTGTTTTGTAAAACGAATGATCTTTTCTGTTTTCTTTATGTGTCGTTCTTGCTAAATCTTACAAGGAGACAGCTTAATAAAAGTATTAAACACTCATCAATGGTACATTATATGTAGTCATAAGTGCGACCGGTTCTTGGTATAAGGGAGGTAACTCTTTGTAAAAAGTCCTACTGGGGAAGATGGATTCGCCTCTGATGTCCGACTTCGCAAAATGAATGCAGCATCACTTTGAATAGCTAGAATTAAGCTGTAAATGTAGAGAAAATGAATACAGCATTTTTTTCTAAAGTTCAGATTCTCGTTGCGCTAGAATAACGATAATTAACTTTTTACCAAAACTCATACGGATTGGACAGTTTTATGAACCTTTTGAAGCACTCTCCTCGTAAAACTTTTATACGTTTTACCATTAAAAATTAAATTTGTTATAGTCCGTTCATTAAATGGAAGAACGGAAGGGGGATAAATCCGTGTTTACTTTAAATTGAAATAGATTTTGAAACAAGAGGCTTAGAGGGCATGTATCGCTCACCTGGAGATCTCAACCATTTCAAAGTTATGACCCAATAATTAACTTGTCGTTCAGGGAGGTTCCAAATTTGTTCTATCTCACCAATCCTAGTGATGATTAATATCCGTGTAAAGTTTCTTAGAAATAATTTCATCAGTAAAGAACTTTTGCTCAGGCAATGAAATGGTAATACTTTTAGGCGACAGACGGACGGATAGTGCCATATCTTCTAATACATTTGGTAGTCTGACCAAAGTTTCACGAAGTTGCTCAACTAAAAGTTATTCCTTAACTGAAATTTTCCCCAAAGTTAATCAGTATTAGATGAGATAGGGATACATTCTTTAACTCCAGTAATGCTTTCCTATGGAGCATCTTTGGTTTATAGAAAAAAAACTGTATTAAGGAACATATGTGAAACTGATGCCTGGAACTTAAGTTATTATCTTTCGTCAAGATGGATGCGACATCCGAGGTCCGGTCACATTTAATCCCCGACCCTTGAAGAGCTAAGCCTGAAAGCTTGGAAAGAGTGACTTTTTAGTTTGTTAGCATTTTCTTTTAGTTTTTACTTTTAGTCTTACTTAAATTAAGGGTAGATATTGGATTTTGTTAAGATGATGGACAATTTCTTTTAAAGCCCCCTCCCACCAGCTACAAAATCATCAACCACCCTGGACTAAATGTGATGAACATTGAAAAGTAACATGGTTCTAGTTCCATAATACAAGTTCAGAGGTAATAATTCTACATATTTTCCAATCTGGTACGCTACTGGGTTGATCAGTTTCTCTGTATGTTTCCCAGAACAAGGATGAACTGTGAAAATGATAATATGATTGTGTGTCTTGAGAACCCTTTTTTTCTCTCTACAATTTCTGGACGACAGGAAACACTTTTTCCAGAGAAAAATCACCAGAATTCCTACAAATTGTCAATGCAAATAAAAACAAAAGGAGACATCTTCATGGAAAAAGCACAGATGATTTATTTTCATAACAGAAAAAATATCTTAATAATAGAAACCCCAATAAATATTTGTTGTGTAACACATCACAGGGGTCAGACTATATACCAATCCTTTATAGATTATTATTATTACATGTGTATTAATGTCTCTGTCCCCTGTGTTTTACACTGGAAATCTCCTGCAGAACTACCTGTGGTAAATAGTATTGTAACCAACTAGCACTCCAGCAGTACCAAGTTAGGCCAAGTCAAAAATGGTAATGTTGCCGATTAACATTTATCCAGACCAGTTTTTGTCACCAAGCTATGATTAGTTGGATCATTGCAATGCAACACACACACCTTTCTACTTCAATCCAGATATATTAAATAATAAAAAAATCATCTTCAATACACACTAGTCGTTTCTGAATCACTTAACATGAAGGACAATTTTTATTTTCCTGGCCTCATTCGACCAATAAAGACATTCCAAGAAAATGGCAAACATAAATACAGTCATTATTGCGACAATCAGAGTTATTCAGGCCACAAAATAACATTTAGATAATGGTTTCTGCAATTAAAGGACTTTTCAAGGGTTTTTTTCCAAGTCAATTGTTAATGAATATTGCTGCAGATTAACTGGGTATTTCTATTCAAAATATCAGAAATAAAATACACAGCAATATTAAAACTGCTATCAGATGCAAATAAATGCATGATGCAGAAGAAAACAGACTAGTATTTCAGATATTTAAATCCCTACTACCAAATTTGGACTATACATTTAAAATGTTTACCATACTGTATAAGTGCTTAAATTTTGCCAAGGCTTTAGTAGATTCACTGCTGGGCATTTATAGCCTGAAATTTAAGTGAAATATATACTCAGTGAATCTCTTTCCCTTCTGGCAGGGAGTTAATAAAGACTATAGACTATTAATAATGTTGTGGAGAAATTGAAATCTGTGAATTGGTTTCATCCAAGCAAAATCAGAACACTATACATGTACAGTTAACATAAACATACTGTATAATGAAAACTTTTAATAACAATGTAGAATTTAAGATAAATTAATACAAAATGACAGAATATTCATTCAAAGTACATCCATGTGTCAGAATTAGAAAGTGAAAAACTATCAAATGTCTTGATGTTGTTTTTCAAACTTTGACATAACTTTGTACCAGAGAAAGAAAAAAGACTTAATTTTGACTTCTCTTACAGAATTTCAATTGGACTGTAGCTTAAAGTTTCAAAAACCACAGAATTCAGACATTTGTTAAAAAGAATTAATGTTTATAGTCTTAATTATTCAATCTGCCCTTCTGACCAAATTAATACAAATGTCTACTTTTTTCTCTCTCTCTTTTTTTAAATAACTGAACCAGTCAGTAGCATTCTGGTTCAAAAATAAATATCATTTCAACCAACTGTCCATTTCTACCACATCTCCGCAATATTGTTTATAGCACTTTTTTTTTAACCTTTTCTGTTTAATTATTCCCATATAGTGAAGGCCAGTTGAGTATTACACCTGAATTACCTGGTGAATTTTACATGGTAAAATGCAGTTGGTTTTTTGGCAAAAATATTGTAGGAAATCAACAATACAACAATGGATTTGTTTTGTCTGTCAGCAACAGAAATACATCCGGAAATAATACAATGTAACCATCTGACAAATGTCTTTTTATCACTTAAAAGTTTTCCTTCAATAAATCATATGAATGTAGCCCTTTTTCAATATTATAATAAGATTTGCACGAACACATTGCAAGTGTTTTTGTTAATGAGAAAATGGAAAATGTGTTTTTCACAATTGTGCTTCATATTGATATATAGTCCCTGCTTCAATATTATGTCAGTGGGTTTATATTTACAACACATAAGAATTTGCAGTACTAGTGAACTCCCCCAGTGAAATAACCATGAATATAAATATATACATATGTCGAGAAGTTTATAAATTGTTTAACATAGTAATAAGACGGAAAAAAAACCACGACAAATATTCAACCTATCTTCCTATGAACAAATATTTCACAATTCTATGGACATCAATGTCAATATGGACAAATGTCTTTGTTGATAAATATCCTATTTATTCATCTAAAGGACAAAAATCTTAATATGGACAATATCATCCTGTATTCATTTTAACAAATCAACAACAAAAAAATCCAAACATCAATTCATGTGGACAATTATTCCCATGGACCATGTAATATTGTATATCCATGTGCACAAATATTTCCATGGACAAATGTTTCCATGTACATATCCAAATGGACAAATACACTGTATTTGCACAGACCAATGTTACATTATTATCCATGTGAACCAGTCAATATTCCCATAGATAAATGAGTCCATGGGCCAGCCATAGCAGTTAAAGTAATTCTACGTGATCCTGTACAAACTATACTTGCATAGTTGTATTTAGTATTGGAATCTTAAGCTAGTCGAACCATTTGGTGTCTGTTTACATTTCTGAACCCTTTCACCCCTATGTAACTTTAGACTCTGCCATGCATTGATACCGATGAGTCCATTATAATTATGGTCTACAGTGGTGAAAGGGTTATTTTTAATAACCAAGATTTCCTAATTCAAATTCCTGTTAAAATTTAGGTAAACTAGGCAATTACTTGGATTTCACAAGATAAATGTATTTACCAGAGCAGAGATGATCGTCGAATTTTTATTTTTGAAATTCAAATTTCCATAGTTATTTTCTTTTCTTTTCATTTTTTTTTAAAATCATTAAGAGTAACTTGTTTATTGCACAATCAGGAAAATAAGTTTGCAAGGTGATTCATTGCAATATATTTTCTCCCAATTATGAAGATCCAAAATATTTTTCTAAAATGTGGAAGTCTGGATTATTTAGATCCAGATTACTGGATCAAAATTTTGGACTAAAATGACTGTAACTATTTGCACAGTGGGCCCCAGAAAGAAGTGCAAAAAATGCACCCCACCCCCCTCAACTCTTCATCTGATTTTCTATGGAATGGCCCTAAGCTATGATGATGCATCACAAATCTCATGGAAATTTTTATCAAAATTTCTAGTCATACAGAAAATTTTAAAATTTGAGGGGAAATCATTCAATTAAATCAAAGATTTTCTTCTTTTAAAAGGATGTTAATATTCTACTGTTTTCAAGTCCTTTCAGATTTTTTCGTGTTTTTTTTTCAAATTCAAAAAGTAAAGCAAACCAAATACATATGTGTGATTAGAATACAACAGTTTAGTGCATAGTTGTAATTTTAACAATTTAAACTAAGTCTTATAAACGTCTTGGTTCTTAATTTCAAAAAAATGATATTAACCTTATCTCCACATTCTCAGAGAAAGATTGCCACTGATTTAACAGAAGTAGTACAACTATTTCAAAACACTAAATACCATTAACACATTCTCACAAAACAAAACAAATATCAATAATAATGTCAAAGTTGAATAATTAATTGAGATGAGAGTTACCTGTAAGAAACCTTGATTTTGAAAAAATGACAGAATATCAAAATATTGAGGACTTCTGTACATTCCTGTTACAAATTTCATTAATCACACTTTCTATATACATGTGCAGAAGAAAATATTTCTTATTGTCAAAAATAAATTTTAAGAAATTTAAATTGAAACAAATCAGTGAGCTTTGTATTTTTGGGTATTTTTCTTTTTCAAACTTTAGGACCTTGCAACTTCTCTGTAAACAAATTATTTTTATCACTATTTTTTTTACTAAATTTTGTTACGGTCAAATACCTCTGCATGTTGAAATGGGTTTGTGATTTTAGAACCTGTCATGGCATGACCATCTATTGACCTGCCTACCAGAAATAGACCTCACATGTTTGTTAGATGAACTGTATGAATTTTATACACATATCCAACTGTATCATTCCTATAATGTTCAAAATGGAAGATTTTGAATTCCAGTCGATCTTCATTTGCATCATGCTCCATATAAAAATGTTTCAATTCTTCTTGCCGAATTCCATATTTAAAATTTTGTTCACTTAAGATTGTTTTTCATTGCAAATAGCTATAATTTAGTCAGGTGACATAAACAGATTTTGTATTCAAACTGAACGACATCACCTCAATTCCTTAATAAAGTCTTTTCAAGTATTTAAATCACCCAGTGGAGCTTTTCATATTCCACTCAACTACTCCGTAAGGCTTAATTTAATCGAGTTCCACTGGGTTGATTTCTCGTGTTGAGGTTGTCATGCTGCTGGCCATACTTCCCCAACTGGAGGAGGACACCTGCATCATATCCTCGTCATCGTCTCCCCCAGAGAACAGACTCTGGATCAAGTTACCTGTAAAATAGTTTCAGTATCAATTTACCTGTATAACAAACACTTGATCAGTTCTCAAACCTGAATCATAATAACATACACAGTTTTACCTTTAAACTTATATTGCATCTGGTATGTGTATTAGTGCTGAGCATAATTATACTGTATGTCCAAAATTTGATATTGACTACAGAAATTTTCATACGACAGTATCAGCACTTCGGAGGCTGACAATACAGTTAATAAACCAGTACATTACTGGACAAGGAGTCCACACATTTCCTCAGAAACCAATCTTGTTTGTACAATATTTTGACTTTTAATCAGAATATTGTTCAATTTGATGGTAAACATTTTGTTTTGAAATTCAGATTATTGGAACAGTACAAACATACACTGTATCAATACATTAATATGTATACAAATGTAGAATATATGTACAAATGTATGCTGTATCTCATTCTGGCAATACTAGCCTTGACATTTTGGTATGATCCCAAGTTGCAGGAAAATAATGAAAGTTGTGGAGACACAAGCATTATTACAACTACTGGATTCTTCCAATGGCATACATGCACTTGTTCACGAGAGTTTTAATTTGCACCATACCATAGAAAGTCACATGACACAACCAATTCTCTGTTTCACAAAGGAACAATAACTGTATAATTAATTCAATGTTAAATTAAATTTTTGAATAAATATATATTCAAAATAGAAAAACCTGTTATATACAAACTCTGTAGAGTAATAAACAAATAAACAATCAACACATTTCAACACAAACTCTATAAAGTTTTGAATGTGTGTTAATGATATGAGTAAATACACAAATCATTGGTCAACGGGTTAAATGTAATGGTGATATTCTACTTACCAATTAGTCCCTGAGAAGGTGCCCTCGGAGGAGGAACTCCGAAAAACACTTGTCCAATTTTATCTAAGTACTGTAAAACATAAATCACAAAATTAATTTTCCAGTATTAAAATAGAATGCTTTAATTATCTTTTGAATTGAACAAATCATATATTTGTTTCACACAGAATGAACATATATAGGAATATCATCGTAACTTTTGGCAAAAAGTTACTCATGGCTAAACCCTTTATTCTAAAACTTCCTCCTGAAAAAGGGAACTGTTCTTTTAGACACCGACACCTGCGTAACCAGACCCTGCATGACCCTGAATCCTGCATAAACCAGATCTTAAACCAGGTCCCATTGTTAAAATTTTCATGTTAGTCAAATGAATATTTGTTCGTAGAAAACTTGTCTAGTCTAAACAAAGGTAAATAATCAATCGTGAACAGTGTGGTGTTCAAAATATACAGGTTTCACTGTGGTGTTGAAAGCTCTACAAGTTGCTACTGATAGTCTTCAGTGAAGTCTGTTTTAGATTGAACTAGTGGTTGTATACCATGAATTACTGCAAGGCTTTGAAGACTAACTTTATTTCCTCATACCTCTTCATATGTAGGATTTATCTTTGTAAATATTCATTACTGTAGTCTGTAAGTAAATACAGTGTAAAAGTGACAAAAGATGTGCTCTTATTTGATATCATATTTCCATTTAAATTATAAAAGACCTCTTTTTATAGAGGGTTTTTTCTTCTTCAAGTACATAAAGGTGATCAACAGTTTTCTTACCTCTTTATATAAGAGCTCTCTTTATAGACGGTTTTTATAAGTATTAAAATTAAAGGGATTGACAGTTTTCTTACCTCTTTATATAAAAGAGCTCTCTTTATAGACGATTTTTATAAGTATTAAAATTAAAGGTCATTGACAGTTTTCTTACCTCTTTATATAAAAGCGCTCTCTTTATAGACGTTTTTTATAAGTATTAAAATTAAAGGGATTGACAGTTTTCTTACCTCTTTATATAAAAGAGCTCTCTTTATAGACGTTTTTTATAAGTATTAAAATTAAAGGTGATCAACAGTTTTCTTACCTCTTTATATAAAAGCGCTCTCTTTATAGACGGTTTTCATAAGTATTAAAATTAAAGGGATTGAGTTTTCTTACCTCTTCATATGAAAGCGCTCTCTTTATAGACGGTTTTTATAAGTATTAAAATTAAAGGGATTGAGTTTTCTTACCTCTTTATAGACGGTTTTTATAAGTATTAAAATTAAAGGGATTGACAGTTTTCTTACCTCTTTATATAAAAGCGCTCTCTTTATAGACGGTTTTCATAAGTATTAAAATTAAAGGGATTGAGTTTTCTTACCTCTTCATATGAAAGCGCTCTCTTTATAGACGGTTTTTATAAGTATTAAAATTAAAGGGATTGAGTTTTCTTACCTCTTTATAGACGGTTTTTATAAGTATTAAAATTAAAGGTGATCGACAGTTTTCTTACCTCTTTATATGAAGGATCTCTCTTTATTGATGTTTCATATTTTTCACATAAGATAGTAAATACTGTAAGGCGTCCCCTGTAACATTACAAAATACAGTCAAGTGTACATTTAACCTTGTACAATACAATGATATTCATGCTAAATATCTTGAGTAAGTTTCCATTTCATATGAGACTCATTAAATGAGCCTTAGGTTTGCATAATTTTATAATTTATACACAGGATTGCTACTACCATATCCACTCAGCTTTTTCTATGCCTGGTAATAAGGCCACCCTTTTAATTACAGTTCAGTAGAAAAATACTAGCTAGAATTTCAACAAGTTATTTTTTCTTCCCCCTGGGCTTAATGTAGGATAAATACGGTACTAAATGCCATCTGGTGGAATAGTAGTTTAAGTTTTGTCGGACAGAATGAGATATGGTGGCAGCAAGGATTTTTGTCTATCCATCTCCACCCAATTTTTTGACACAACTCAGTTGGTGAAACATATATAAATAGAGAATTTAATTTCCTTTCAGACGAAGCAGCTTACCCTTCCAGTGCTAGCAACAGAAACCATATAAAGTTAAGTAGTGGATGGATGTAGGGTGATCCCCGCTTCACCTGAGGGTGGTTTTTTGTGAATGTCTGAAAGGCATCATTTGCCGTTTCCTTATTCTGGAGACACAAATATCTGAAATTGATAAGATATTCAATTGTAATACATGTTTGAGTTGGCACAACCATCAATGCCACAAATACCCTTAAGATGTCTCAAAAGTGAACATGCACAACATGGGACCAAGGGGAACCTTCATATCAAATTTGAGAAAGATCCCTTCAGTACTTTCTGAGAAATAGCAATAACAACAGCTCTAATTGTGGATGGACGGACAGTGGATGGACGACGGACAGACAACGGACAGACAACGTACGACTGACAATGGACAAATCACAGACAAAGGGCGATTTGAATAGCCCACCATCAGATGATCGTGGGCTAAATAGTTTATAGGTATTTGAATATATAAAGGGACCTGTGTCTTTATTATTCAACCAACTAACATCAGACAGCTGTGCTTCATTGATTATGCAACTTAGGCCAAAAAAACAACACTTGGTTCTCAGGCCCACGCACATTTCATTTAAGGGCACCGCATTGCCGATTTTATCGTGAAAGTAATAAAAAAATCAATTGTGAATGCACCAGCCGCTTCTTAAAAGAAATCCGGAAATTGGTCTGCATGTCGTTTTTACTCTTTAGTCACCCAAGTCCCGAGAACGTTTGAATAAAGAACAGGAAATTGATAGACAGGCAAGCGTTAAAACGATTATGACTTATTAATCTTGTATACAAATGGCGGTCATTAAGGTACAAATAAGGAATGGGGGGGTCCGTGATTCTTACCTGGAACATTTTGGGGGGATTTTCGGAGGCTTGCTCCATGACGGATCTCTATACAACTATAAAAAACTTAAACATCGATCTGGGACAACGATAAACTCTATTTGCTAAAGTATCTGTGTGTGTTGGGTGACAAAAAACAGAAACATTTGATAAGGTATTGCCCACAATGAATGTTTTACAAACTACACAATAAAAAAAAATCGCCCTCATCTCATTTTTGCCATGTAAAATGGAGAAGAAAAAAATACCTCCCTGCCTCTTCTCTTATGAAAAAAAATGGCCTGAGAACAAAGTAAAAAAAATGTTTTGCCTTACAGTCTGCACTATAACATTGTCTATAACTTACTGTAACACAGCCTGCGCTATAAACATGTCCACCTCTGACGTATAGCCTCTCATCAAGTGGTACTCTATCAACATTGTAGCACATCCCTTGCCATCGGTAGAATGGAGGAAGTGATACCTAGCTTGCACATAATTTTTTTCTACAACGACAAATCCAACATTCAGTACATTTCATTAGCATTGGACATCATTTGTACACATACTGCTAAAGTGCTTCAAACAGTTGCGAATATAATTATATTCTGGATCAAGGAAAGTCCAGATTAAAAGAAGAGCAGTGATAAGAATTATATTCTGGATCATGGAAAGTCCAGATTGAAAGAAGAACAGTGAATATAATTATACTCTGGATCAAGGAAAGTCCAGATTGAAAGAAGAACAGTGAATAGAATTATATTCTGGATCAAGGAAAGTCCAGATGGAAAGAAGGACAGTGAATATAATCATATTCTGGATCATGGAAAGTCCAGATTAAAAGAAGAACAGTGAAAATAATTATATTCTGGATCAAGGAAAGTCCAGATTGAAAGAAGAACAGTGAATATAATTATATTCTGGATCAAGGAAAGTCCAGATTGAAAGAAGGACAGTGAATATAATCATATTCTGGATCATGGAAAGTCCAGATTGAAAGAAGAACAGTGAATATAATTATATTCGGGATCAAGGAAAGTCCAGATTGAAAGAAGGACAGTGAATATAATCATATTCTGGATCATGGAAAGTCCAGATTGAAAGAAAAACAGTGATAAGAATTATATTCTGGATCATGGAAAGTCCAGATTGAAAGAAGAACAGTGAATAGAATTATATTCTGGATCAAGGAAAGTCCAGATTGAAAGAAAAACAGTGAATATAATTATATTCTGGATCAAGGAAAGTCCAGATTAAAAGAAGAGCAGTGATAAGAATTATATTCTGGATCATGGAAAGTCCAGATTGAAAGAAAAACAGTGAATAGAATTATATTCTGGATCAAGGAAAGTCCAGATTGAAAGAAAAACAGTGAATATAATTATATTCTGGATCAAGGAAAGTCCAGATGGAAAGAAGGACAGTGAATATAATCATATTCTGGATCATGGAAAGTCCAGATTGAAAGAAAAACAGTGAATATAATTATATTCTGGATCATGGAAAGTCCAGATTGAAAGAAGAACATAATCTTCTGTTTATCTATTTCAAAGTTTGATTCACCTTCCCAGAACAGTAGGCCTATCTTCTGGTGCAGATCAGGGTGTCCGAGTTTGTGCTGCTGGTTGTCCACTTTAGTTGACCACCTGATGGACGCTACCATGTACTGGTGACGTTCCTGACAGTCTGGGTTCATGGCACGGAATAACTTCACCACTTTGTCTTTGAAAAAAAAAAAAAGAAGAATGTTTACATCGTTGTAAAAAAAACCTCCAAGACAATGTTTAACTACACATTAAGAATGGCAAATGGCAAAGGGAGAATCATATTGAGATTTCTGCAAAACAACATTTTCATTGGGCACATGTTTTTTTGTATTATGTCATTTATATGGAGAAATCTTTGATAGGCCTCCGCAAAAATATTACTTTGGACTCAAGAATATTTCCAAATATGAGATAATTCATGTATATGGACATTTTATAACAAAGTAATAGATTGAGATAGAGAACATAATCTTGTGTACCAATGTTGTCATCTGTCACAGGAGTCATGGCCGTGTTAAGTAGTTCTATCATCAGCATGGCTAGGTCTGCTCCACTGGAATGCTGTAATTGATAAAAAAATCCATATTATATATCTGCAGCTGTACAGCTGTTTTAAGAGTGAAAATGAAATTTCCTGTTACTCGCAGTGGTCCATATCCACTAGGAGATACCTTTCTCTTATTCTACTCATTTTGCTCGTAATCATTACGACTTTTAAATGATATTAGCACATGTGTTATTAGATTAAATCATGTGTTATAAGATTAGGAGTGGTTAAGTGATATTACGAGTGGTTCAAACCTATTACGAGTGGTTCAAACATATTAAGAGTGGTTTTGTGATATTACGAGAAGTTATGATTACCTGTGGGCATATTCCCCGCCCTCACTATAGACAGTCTGACCTTATTTCCACTTGAAAGTTAATACATATATGTAAGAACTTCGCTGGATTCATATTTACTAGATAAAGAAAGTACTGCTACTTGCAGAAATTTGCAGCTAAGAATTTCCTTAACCTACCAATCATTTTGGATCAATTTTCCCTTATTGTTTCAAACTTCTTTTTAAACAAAGATCCACTCTAACATTTGCAGCATTTATTCGTGAAAAACGACACTTTTCATGCAACATTGAAATGTAAAAAGCCGTCATTTTGACTCCAGTGTGTAAGCCTGTGACATCATGTACTTGTCCTAAGTGTGACGTCACAATTGAAACATTTGAAACTTACAACTAATCACAGGGCTGATAGGTCATATTACATGGGTTAATATGCCAAAACATATGACATGGATATTTCCAAATAAGACATCAAAGAAACGAAGGAGTAGATATATGGAAAAAAAGAAAGCAATCCTGTAAGCTTAAGGGGCACCCCACATAAGTTTTCCTTATACGCTTATAATTGTTACAGTAAGTGGGATATTCATGTACCTGATTGTGTTGAAGAAGAGTCAAGGAACCATTGTACAGTAGATTCAAGGCCTCTGTGTATTTCTTCTGTCCCTTATATCTGTAAAATAATCAAATGCAGTGCATGTAATTCATTTACACTTTTTATCTCTTTTCAAATAAGTGACTGGGTATAACTGTTTATATATTGCATACCAATCTCAACTTTGGCGAGTCTCTAAATTCTAATCTATGTCATGATATCATGGTGCCAAGTAAAGGGGTATTAAACCTTATACAAAATACAAGACTATGACACCCGACGTGTAATTCAACTGTTATATACAGGTTTGGCACAACGGCGCATATGGGTAATAATCCTGCATTTGGGTAACATCTTTGTATGTTATGGTTGAATGCACTTCAAATCTACTTTCACTATCCTATATAAAAAATCAAAATTTTGTACTTCACTTACGTTATTGAAAATCGCTATTTATATGGTTATTATAAACAACTTTTGGTTGAACGTTTTTTCGTGTTTTGACATTTTCGTGATTTTAGATGTCCCGACTTTTCTAAGGTTTCAAAGGTCATGAAATACTTTCAAAACCGAAAACTGTTCAACCAAAAGTTGTTTGTAATAACCAATAGATATGGCGATTTTCAATTACGTAAGTGAAGTACAACATTTTGATTTTTTATATAGGATAGTGAAAGTAGATTTGAAGTGCATTCAACCATAACATACAAAGATGTTACCCAAATGCAGGATTATTACCCATATGCGCCGTTGTGCCCAACCTGATATATATGTTAGAATGCAAATATTAATGCAAGTTTAGGTCATGAAAAATTTCACATTTTGAAATGTATGTGTACCAGCGCAGGTACAAAATGGAAGAAGGATACTTTTTCACTATTCACAATAAACAGTGACTATAAGTACAGCAAAACCTCAATGTAATGTCTCTCATTTCATTTGCCACCTTATTTACCATCAGCATATTTCAATGTCCCCATACGTATATACTCTTGGTTTCTTAAGAATTCGTTTTTACATGTCCCTCAATTTATCGACAAATTCCTTTTCAATGCCAAAATTTCTCTGCAGGAATGGTGGCAGCATAATGAGGTTTTACTGTACACATTACATTTTTTGATAATATCAAACCTGATGACCAACCTAGTAAGGTTTTGCAGTTGACCTTAATCTAGTATCACGTGTGCATGCACTTTGAAATGTTTTTTCATTCATTCTGTACAGAGAAAAAAATCTTTCACTGACTGCACGACTGTTCTTTAAGAATTTTCCCTACTCTAAAGGGGAGTCAGCGAGTTAACGCGTGCGTTGCATACAGTATAATTTTCGCGCTAGTTAACCTACATTGACATAGGACTAGCAAATAAACAATCAACTAGTCCTGACGACTAGTACCAAGCAAAAATGATCACTGTCTTACCTTGATCTATATTTTTAGAATAAGTTTTATCTATAATTATTTGCAAGTTTATTAAATTACTTCCTTGTAAAACATGACATGGTTCCAAACTATACAGTAACTACTGGACCAAAATGATTTGTCATTGTATCACTCATTGACTGTAAAGTTATGGCATGTCAAAAACACCTAGACGTTTATACATCACCTGCATAAGGGTTTGAGTAATGTTACTTTTTTGAATGGACGATACCGGCCCCTGTCAACGTGCAATTTATTTACAGAGAGGGTTACTGCACTCACCTGCCAATGTCAGTGCCATATTTGAACGATACGAATCTGACCCCAACATAATGGGGGAAAACACAAGTGTATCAGTCTATTGCTCTCTTATAGACAGTGTTGTTTTTTTTAAACTTGGATGTAGTTAAAATTCAGCGTCACGATCTACAAACCCATCTTTGCTCCGGGGGATCAGCAGTTTGGAACATGCCAGAACGGATGAGAAAGTTAGCAGACGTCACCAAACATATAATAAAACTAATGTGTTCTACTCACCAAGTACGATCAAAAGATAGCAATGCCAATTTCTTACCTAAAGTAAAGCGTTCTGTACATTTGATGAGCTTCATAAAAGTTTCCTCCCTCGACACATGCTCTACATTTTGCCAGAACACGGTCGATACCTCCACTTTTGGTCGCCATCTTTTTGAAAAGATAAATTTGGGGCGACTGAACAAAACGAAACAAATTGAAATTAGTCTCTCTAAATTAACACGCAAAGTGAACGTATCATCTAATCAATTTTACAATCATATCAATTATTTTGAAATCGAGGAATACTCTGCTATTTTATGCAAAAATGAAATAAAAATCATAATAATGATATAATTTTGTTTCGAAAGGAAATTTCGGATTGCAAGCGTCTTCATTGTTCATTTCCGGTATACAGGGTTCTTGCCATAAAAGAAGAATGGATAAAGACATCGTGGTATTTATCCGTCATATTGTAAAATAATAACTTCGTTTGTGGTTAACATTACCTGTTTAACATTTATTCAGGTCTTATAACCAAAAGTCATTACATACTATTGATTTGATGCAAATTCACGTGCCGCTACTGGGAACTGGACCCGATTTTGTTTTGAATCGCAAGTTAATTCGTCCACGAAAATAATATCAACATTTGTCGGGGACGAAATGTCTTCGATAAATAAGTAAAGCTCCGCTCCAAATTTTTGACTGGAAGCATCCCTTGGTGGTGGGGATTACATATTCAAAATTGTACAAATGGTAGGGTAAACCCCCCAGGGGGCTGAGGGGTGTGGCCAAAAGAGGACAATTTGGCTATAAACGACTTCTTCTGTAGAACTGCAATGGATATCAATCATATTTGGTCAGAAGCATTCATGGGAGGTGGGCAAAATTGTACAAATGGTGGGGCTGACCCCCAAGGGGGGTGGGGGGCAAAAAGGGTTATATATATGGCTATATTGCTTTAAGCGACTTCATCTCTGGAACTAAGAGATTGATATCAACCATATTTGACTCGATGCACCCCGAGGTAGTGTGGATTCAAAATTGTACAGATGGTGGGACTGACCCCCCAGGAGGCAGAGGGGCGGTCCAAAAAACGTTATTTGGCTATATTGCTTTAAGTAGCTTCTTCTCTACAACTATAAAATGGACATCAACCATATTTGGTCAGAAGCATTCATTAGAGGCAGGGATCAAAAGTGTACAAATGGGGGGGCTGACCCCCAAGGGGGCTGAGGGACGAGGCCTAAAAGGGTTATTTGGCTATTGTATTGCTTTAAGCGACTTCTTCTCTGGAACTAAGAGATTGATATCAACCATATTTGACTGGATGCATCCCTAGGAAGTGGGGATTCAAAATTGTACAGATGGTGGGGCTGACCCCCCCCCCCAGGGGGTGGAGGGGCGGGGCCAAAAGGGGGCAATTTGGCTATATAGCTTCAATGGCTTCTTCTGTAGAACTATGCACTGGATATCAATCATATTTGGTCAGAAGCATTCATGGGAGGCAGGGATTCAAAATGTACAAGTAGTGGGGCTGACCCCCTTGGCTAAGGGTGGGGCCAAAAATAGTTTATTGCTTGGAAATGGTTGAGATCCCCACCCTATAACCATATATACAATTGCTGAGCATGAAGAGAAGAATGCACATATGCTTCCAGGATTGCCCAGGGACTGCCCCACCCTTGGAGACATAGTCCCTGGGTCATAACTTTGAAACGGTTGAGATCCCCACCCCAAAACTGTACATGTTTAAAGAATTGACCCCAGGGTCTGCCCCACCCTCGCAGACTTAACCCCTGGGTCATAACTTTGAAACAGTTGAGATCCCCACCTCAAAACTGAATATACAAATGCTGGGCATAAAGAGACAAATGCAGTCATGATATTATAATTGATCCTGGGCTGGGGTCTGGCCACAACCCTAAGGAACCTAGTTTCTGAATCACACCTTGGAAACAGTTGAGATCCCCACCCCATAACCATGCATACATAAAATTGGGCATGAAAAATCTAATACAGATATGATACAAGGATTGGTCTTTTGGTCTGGCCCTTTCCCTTGGATCTTATTTGGAGAATATTTTGTCATGATTACTTTTTATATCCAAGTGAGCGATACAGGCCCTCTGGACCTCTTGTATTGTCCTGTTGGGGGCACAGGGGCTCGGATCTATGGACACAGACCACAATCTTAAATGATCAGTCGGTTTGTTTAAATTAATGATTGATAGCTATATAGTCGCATTAGTCAGATACTTACGGATACCTTAACCCTTTCACCCCTATGTAACTTTAGTAGACTCTACCATGCATTGATCTGCATGAGTCCATTATGGTGGTACATGTGTGATAGCATGCCTATTAGTGTGATTTGAATAATAATTTAAGGTGACATAAATAGAACGATGAATATTGTCCATATAATCAGTGTCAATATAGTTAGGAGCCTCCCTATTATATATCTAGCATATGAGTTTGTTTGAAATGTTGGTTTCCAGACACGAAAATTCCTAATATGAGAGCGGCTTTTTGCAGTTTTTGTAGTACCTTGCAGAGTCAGAAAAATGTATTTTTTCATTGAGGTAAAAATTTGGAATTCTGAATGTTTTTGTTACTCCATAGATTTCAGTTGGTACATTAGAAAAGTAATCTTTTGAAAAAGCTAAGAATCTTCAAATATATAATCATGCAAAAAAAAATTTTTTTTTTATAACTTAGTTATGTCCAAGTGCAGAAAACTTTTAAAATGTTAAAACAAGTTTATGGAAATAGTCTGAAGTACCAAAACGTCTTACTAAAGTACAAAAAGGACAGGAGTACCGAAACGCTGTACCCCAAAAAGTTTAGCATCAAAAAATGTACTTGTGTTTCCTGTAATTATATACAAGAGCTAAAGAAAACAGGGTAGGTTAATTAGGCTATAAATGCCTATTCTTTTTAAAAAGTACATATCCTGTCATTACTTGTTTAAAATTTCCATAACAATATGCAAATTAGGAACCAACGTCATATGTACATATACATTTTGTATATGGGGCTACAGGAAACAAAATTATATTTCCAGGCTTTTATCATTTGATAAATGTATGTACGATGTAGGCCCTATAACAAAATTTTCTGGAAAGGGTATATTATTTCTAATGTATAAACATGTTAATGTATTACGTAACATTACTATGTTCAGGAAACAATGATCAGTGTACAAAATGTTGAGTTATTTCAGAGCAGGGGTGTACAACTTCGTATTTCAAGGACTAATTCAGGTCTGCACACAGATTTTGCTAAAGTCTGCAAGTCCAAGTTGTTTTTTCAAAATAAAATACTGAAATGTTTCACTATCTCTTACTTAACATCTATAGATACAAGCCTTGGATGTTGGCCAGTTAGCAAAACTAATGTTCACCCCTGAGAATGAATACGTAATTGAGTTTTTACTATTGTAAGTAATTATATATGCATTATATATATTATTATATAATGTATTGAGAAGAGACAGAGGAGTTTGCCTATAACCTACACACATTCAACCTTTGCATTTCTTTGTATTCTAGAAGAAAGATGGGACTTCAAACCCCAATTCCCCGGTCATCAGTAACCCAGGTACACCCCGATCTGACGGAGAACAGCAAGTGAGAGCCACGCCTCCACCAGGCCCAGCCCAACAGATCCGGTTGTCACAGCAACAGATGATAGCCCAACAACATCAACTCCACCTACAGCAGCTGTCACTGGCCAATCAGACGAAGTACACTCAGCTGCTGTCTGTCATCGAAGAAATGGGTCGAGATATTCGACCAACATATGCCGGCAGTAAAACGTCCTCTGAGCGACTCAAGCGTGGCATTGTTCATGCCAGGATCCTTGTACGCGAGTGTCTAATGGAGTGTGAAAGAAGTGCCAGAACATGATCACTGTGTGATTTTAGTTTTATATATTTATTACAATAAGTTTCTATTGAAAAGTTCCGATCTGGCCCATAAATCCATTATCATTGTCAAACTTCATCAAATACTCATATGTTCAAGTTCATGAATTAGTCTGAACAAACATATTGTAATATTAAAATGTAAGAAATGGCTCAAATTCCATTTTAATCTAACATATATGTGTAATAAAAAAAGTCCAAATCAAAGATTTTTGACTGTGAAAAGTGTCCACTGTATACAGCCACTGCAAAAACATCCAAACAATCAATCAGACCATGACCTCCAACTTGTTCAAGGGATGTTCATATTTACTGGAACAATACAATTAACACTTATTACTTGAAACAGCCCAACATTTGTGTGTACATCTTGAGCTGAAAGTTAGCAGTGTGGCCTTCTCTATTGTTTCTTGGCTTGGTTCTTCCCATGGATCCCATCACAAATGATTACTGTCATACGTCACAGATGATCGTCGTCATACGTCACAGATGATTGTCGTCATACGTCACAGATGATCGTCGGCATACGTCACAGATAAACGTCGACATACGTCACAGATGATCATCGTCATAGGTCACAGATGATCATCATCATACGTCACAGATGATCACTACAGATGAGGACTGTAGATGAATGTAAAAGAATATGTGTAAAGATTGAATTGTATCAAGGTAGTAGGTATGGATAGTTCAAGATCTGAATAATCCAACAAAAATGACACTTTTTGAAGTAAAACTGTACACAATGCCAAGTCAAAAAGTAGCATTTTTTTTCTTTTAAGTATGTGTTGTATGGCTTATATACAATTATATGCACTGGTATATTTTACTTCAAAGAGTATATTGGGAATACCTGGTATATATGTAGTAAAAAATAGTGTAATTCAAAGTATATGATATACTGTATAAAAATCTTTATACCAACAACAGAAGTGTATATTTCCATTCGCCTGGTGTCTGGGGCTCTTATGTGGAGGCTCATGGACATTTACAGTATTTGTTATGAAAACAAAGCTTTGGCTTGTAAAAATTTGCAAAATGTGCCTGCTGGCCAGAGCTCGAAAATGAATTTGAACACCCCTGCAGTATGCATCATTCATTCAAAATGTATTGCTACATGTATATATAATAGTCATCCTGGTGTGAAAGTGCAATGTCAAAACATGAAATATCCTTGTATGTGATTTCATTTCTCATAGGTATTTGCGATTTCGTAACGTGTTACTTTTTTTCGTGCTACTCGGATATGTATATATATATATGAAAATTTGTGAAACATTAATTTTTCATAAAAAACTAATTTGATATTTATTAAAGTTTGTTACAATTTTATAACCTGGTATTGTATATTGTTGGCATTGTTGTAGCCTTTACGGTCCTCAGTTCAATCCTAAGACAACTGTTCTTTGCACCAGGCTGCTAAAAACATTTGCTTTTATGTACAGTGAAACCTGTCTAATCTGATCCCTGAGTTATATGTTATATCCAACACCCAACTACCATATAATCTCATTTTTCATGAAAAATAAAAAGCATTATGATACCCAATCTAATATGGAAAATGGGTCCCACAGCAGGGTTTAAGATGCCAAACCAAAGGACGTTTTAGTGAAGTAACACATCTAATTATTAAGAGAGAGTGTTTGAGTTTTGACATAATGACAAGATTGATCGCAAAATATTTTATTTATAAGATGGAGAAACTTAAACATTTTCTGATTGGGAAACATTCGTGCGAACATTTTTTGAGTTGAGCCTCCAAAATAACTTTTTTATAGACAGGGTTATTTAAAGGAAATGTACCATACAATATATCTAACAATGGAAATATACTTCATCGTTGTTTAAAAAGATATTTCTTCATGTTGTTGGTCACACACAATCAAGGTTGAATATGTGTAATTGAAAAATGTACATCAATCATTTATTATACAAAGGTTATTATCATATTTATCAATTTTTTTAGGGAGAAAATAATTATTTTGTTGGGAACTATATATGTGTGTGTTCCAACTATATACAATTTGTTAACAATGGTTACACTGGTGTAGCAAAATTGATTTTACAAATTTAATATCAACAAGTTTGATATTTTGTTTTCATCAAATAGATGTGTTAATTAACTTAAATCTGTATGCTAGATTTTGATAATAACTAATGAAATAGGCTGTAAAACAAAAACAGTTTAATATAGAAATGAGGTTGATTTGTTTTTTGAAATATTGTGGATGAAATTTTAGTGTTGCATAAAACTAAGATATATGTATATATATATATACAAATGAATAAAATTAACTTTTTATTAATTCTGTCTCTTCGTCTTCTTTTTACATTGTAGATAGACATGTTGGACGGAAAGCTTATATTCAAATTTATTGCAATTTGGACGTAACGTATTTGGCGAGGGGGCAGGGTTGTTGTTGGTTTCTTATAAGGGATGAGGCGCTTATTATTGAGTTGAATACAGTAGCCATATCCTAGACTGTTTATCAATTTTATTTCACAAGATATTTATGATACATACTGCATACTTAACATGAAATGTTTACTGAGTGTAACAATTTGTAGTTTTTGGTGGTGGTTATTGTTACACAGGTCGGAGCGCTCTGGTTTTCCTCCACCACCATAACTAGCTGGCACGTCCTGAAATTACCATGGCTATCGAAAGGATGGAGAGTAATAACAAACAAATATTTCTGTACTTTGTGCAATTAAAATTGTATTTCACATGACTACACTTGAATTTGAACAGTGATAAAATTGCGGGTACAAATGTTACCAGTACTTTTTGACGAGAAATATTAGATTGTTATGATTATGAAATATATAAGATGGACATATTTCACGCATACATAACTGATGAGATGTATACATGTGTGATAATTAGAGGTTATGATAGTCATTTTCATACCCTAACTCGTATATCAGCTCGGACCCCATTTTAGCCTGAGTTGCCCGAGACTATAGATTGTAAATGTATGGTTGGATACAGAAATGGCTATATGAACACTTTTTTATACTAATTTGTTTCAGACCAATCTGAATCTAGTCATGATTTGGCATACATGAATGTACAGCTTGCAGGTGAACATTTTTGGTCCATATGAAAGAGATGCACAAGATAGAGAAACAATGTGTAATTCCATAATGAAAAGCAAAACAATGACATGTACCACAATAGTTCCTCTGCACACATGAAACTTAACTTCACATTGAAACTGATTACCAGGTTTAACCCCACCCCAGCTTAACATTTTTTATGTGATGGGTGGAAAAAGAGAAATGTAAGGCCAGACAGGGATTTGAACCTGGGACCCTCAGAACTCGAAATGGGGGCCTCGGTGGCAAAGTGGTTAAGGCGTCTGACATTCTGCTACCACTAAAATCCTCCACCACTGGGTTGCGGGTTCGAGGCCTACGTGGGGCAGTAAATTGCCAGGTACTGGCCGTAGGTCTGTGACTTTTCTTCAGGAACTCTGGCTTTCCTCCACCACCAAAACCTGGCACATCCTTAAATGACCATAGCAGTTAATAGGACATAAAACAAAGACAAACGGAACTTTAAACAGACACAACCAAATGAGCTACCTGGTCACCAGCAATTGACCCAGACCAGTTCTGCTACATTCTTCCCTCCTTTTTGCAAGTCTTCATCCCTGAAGACAACACTATTCACCACCCAGGTTCGGGCATCCGCTTGTCAAGCATTCACCCCCCTACTTGAAAAACGGGTTGGTCACAGGCACCAATTTTGTGATGGGAGAAGAGAAATGCACAGCTATAGACCAAGATTTGAATCTGGGACCCTCTGAAATCTAGGAAGTACGGTCTACCAATTGAGCTACCTGGCCACTGTCAATCAATCTAGTCCAGTTCCGCAAGTTCCGCAACATTCAAAAGAGAGTGAGGTTATTTCATAGGATACCTTTGCACTAGAGAAAACAATACATGTCAAGAGAAAAAGACTATTGTTTGATTTCAAAAGAGGATCAGATGAGATGCTGATATAATATGTTTTGGGGGTTTGATATATTTTTCCTATTTTCTAAATAAATCTTTCCATCATTCTTTTTTTAAAGACTGCTGAATAAAGGAGGGAGGTTGAAAGTTGAAATAAGATTGATCTCAGCTTTTTGTATTCCGTCTTTGCGTATTGCAGAGTTATCTGCTCTTGTGAGCAGGTATTGATTGTTACGTCATTGGTTTGTGTGAGAAAGTTACGTCTTTTTCCCAAAAATTGATGACGATACTCTCACAAACCAATGACGTATCAATCAATACCTGCTCACAAGAGCAGATAACTCTGCAATACGAAAAGACAGAATAGTGACCTGGTCAATTTATCCCAATACTAGGTACTATATAGTGATGAAACTATTATGATTCTTGAAAGATTGCTTTTATGGAATTCATGTAAATATATGAAGAATTATTACCCATTGTATTTGTTTTAAAAATTGCATGTACATTGTACATACACCTTATGCATTTTTGTTAATACAGGTGCACCAATTCTCAAGGATCTCCTGACAGACACCAAATCACATTGAACACATACTTTGGTAACCATGGCAGCATTTATAACCAATCAGACGCTAGATACAGAGTTTAGTGCAGATTCTACAGAATGGTGTCCCCATAGCAACCATCATGACATCTTGTTGTGTGGAACGTATCAACTGGACACTTCTGCTTCTAACTCTGGTACACAGGTACAGTAAAACAAAATGATTTATTTTGGAAAGGTTAAACAAAATAGGTCATTATATAGGCAAGTAGTTGTTTCACCCTTTCACCACTGTAGACCATAATGGACTCATCCAGATCAATGCATGGTAGAGTCTACTAAAGTTACATAGGGGTGAAAGTTATATAATATTGAGAATAAGTAGAGATGCTAACATTTAACAGAAATGGCCTCCAGGTATTTATATAGGGACCTATCAGAGATAGATCAGGCAACACACACCTATCACCTAGACATGACAGTGGAGATTTGATTCCCAAATCTGATGTAAAAAAATGAATTGAGTCAAATTGAACCAATTAACCATCTAGATTTTCTCAGGGAATTCTCCAGTTTCTTCCCATATTTAGACCCCTCTGCACTATACCATTCAAGTCAAGAGTGAATGTTATCAGTTGATAGAACTTCAATGTTCCATAATTGTAAAGTTGTAAAATAATTCATATTTATATGTTTATTTATTTTAAAATTTGGAATATCATGAGACAGGAAGTACAGATGATTTTTCTCCTAATTGTATAGGACCGAGTCATTTTTAATTAGTATACATAAAAAAGTATTAAAACAGTCCTTGGTAAGTTGGTAGTGATCTGCATGACCAGCATTTTTTTCCATTTAGTCTTGATGAAAAACTTCACAATGCAATATTTTATACAAACAGACTGTTTTGAAATATTATGGAAAATTGTACTCAGATTTCCAGAGGAAAAGCCCTGTGTCCTCATGTGATACTGAGAGTGTGCTTTCACGGAGCATAATTAAGGGCTAAAGAAAGTGTTTAATGTACAGTGTGTCACTAGGCGTGGTGTTAAACGCTATATATCCTCCCAGTGTCACGTTTTCAAGATTTTCTGTTGTATTAATTTCAGGAATCTGATGACAGCACCGCTTTACAGAGACGACAGACCAGACATGGCCGACTGTACATCCACAGACTGACCAGTGGTCAGGAACTGGCCACAGAGACTACACTGGACATGCCAGGAATTCTGGACATTAAGTGGTGTCCTGTACCTTCTCCGGACGGATCCCTCATGGCCTTGGTCAACTCTGTTGGTCAGTTACGACTCTACAGGATGACTGACAGTGAGGCTGGTGCTCCTGACCAAAAAGTTGATATGACAGAGGTCATGAACTTTGACCTTGGAGATGACTGTCTTGGATTATCATTGGACTGGTCAAATCGAGTAAACAAAGGGTGAGAATATTAATTTAATACCCAGCAAAGGTGGGGATTATTAAATGTGTCAGTTGAATATCAGATATATGTTTTATGAATGTGGATCAGGGATTTTTTTTCAGTGAAATATATCTCATGTTAGACAAAAAATCTTTTCTGTTTATTACATTTTATATACCATTCTCACGTCAATTACAAGGTCTGCTAATAAATTACATTGTCAACAGAATGCTGATCATGGCATATGTGTATCGTATAACAATACAGAATGTTTATACATAATCATTATGATGTTACAGTTATAGTCAAGGGTGTTATTTTCACAGTCAATCTCTGATTGGTCAGTTTACTGTGGGGAAAAAAAAGGAAAAACAAGTTGTATTTGTCACATTAAACTAGTTTTGTCAAAAAACTTAGTGTAATATCATTGGTAAAACAAAATGTTATAAATTTCCATAGGAAAAACATTTATTATATAACGTCATGATGCTACATAACAATATACCTTATTGTCTACAGACCTCCGACTAACATATGTAGTTCCACGTCCACGGGTGATATCCACGTACATGCTGTGGATGGTGGTGACCTTCGACCCCTGACAAGCTGGAAAGCTCATGACTTTGAGGCTTGGATCACCGCTTTCAACTACTGGGACACCAATCTCATCTATACAGGTAAGTGTGACGTCAAGATAATACAGGGAGATTTTAATGCAAGGTCAAGGTTAGAAAGAATGTCAGGTGAGGTCAAAGAATGAAAGGAATTTTGGGCAATTTAGGTCAGAGGTTAAACTGACTTCAAAGGGAGGTCAGTAAGTCATGGTAAAAGGTTAAAGAGAAATTAAGTTGAATTCAAAGGTTGAATGTACTTAAAAAGTACTTGAAGGCAAGGTTGTATTAAGTTGATAGGGCTTTCAATTGAGGTCAAAGTTAATATCCACGTATTGAGGTCAAAGTTAAAGGAAATTTAAAGTAAGATGAAAAATTATCAGTAAATGAAATTTACAGCAAGGCCAAAAGTTAATAGATTTAAACAGTGACATTTTGTTTTTTGGTACTTACAGGTGGTGATGACAGCAAGCTGAAGGGTTGGGACATGCGGATGGATCCCAAGCAGACAGTTTTTGTCAACAAGAGGTGACCAACACTCATAGATACTATAAACTTATTTATTTTAGAGCACTAAAATTTTAGCGCTTATCAAATTTTAACAGATTAGCACGTTGATGAATTGGTGCACTCACAAGATATGTAAAAGAAAGCAATATGCAGGAACTGGAATTGGCAGAGTAATAATTAAGGCAATATTTAAAGTGCGAAAAGTGATAAAATAAGAATACCACTAAAATATGTACTTTTACAGTAATCTGTAGTTCACTTGATCTAAATGTGTAGCATGTTGAGATGAAAGGCTATCAGTTCTGAACAGATTAGCATTGACCATCTTTCAAGGTCATAGGGGTCACTTTGTAATTAGAATATTCAAATAGCTGTCAAATAACCAAGACGTCTAGGGTAGTGATACTTGGCCAGTAGCATGCTGGGATGAAGGGATATCAAGTGTATTTAACCCTTTCATCACTGTAGACCATAATGGACTCATCCAGATGAATGTATGGTAGAGTCTACTCAAGTTATCTAGGGGTTAAATAACCTACATTGACTTACTTTCAAGGTCACAGGAGTTATATTTTTAAAAATATTCAAAAAAACTTTTTCTGAATAACCTAGAGGTCTAGAGTAATGATATTTGTAATCAAAGTAGGAAAAAATGGCTATCTTTTACTGAAAATTGAACCGGAAATTTGATGTAATTTAAAATTTATTGACTAGAGAAAAATGCTGAACTTTTTTGTATATCGTGATATTTTTGTCCCAACAGACACACCATGGGTGTTACCAGTATACAGAGCTGTCCAAACAGGGAACACATACTAGGCACTGGCAGGTAATATGAATATATTATAATCTAGTTTGATTTTTCACACGTTTTACTCTCAGAACTTGAACATGTTGGTGAAGGGTAAATATTTTGATATACAGACCTTTTTTCTTTAAACGCTGTGACTCTCTTTAACAGCAGTGATAATGATTAGATATAGAAGATAGTCTTGGTTTCTTGATGAATAACAGATATATTTCATGAATGGGTTGAAAATTTGGATATTTTTCATGAGTGAAATACACCTGTTATACATAAAGAAAACAAGAACATTCTGTTTATGATATTTTTCTCTATAAAGATGTTGGCTTCTGAGAGCAGATAATCCGTCTCATGCCAAAAAATATTGAGATAAGGAATACTGTATTGCAATGCCCTAATAAGAAAACAAATGTCGGAGCAGCAATGATGTCACAATTGATAATGCCTATCAATTGATACTTTTCACACTAAACTCAGTTCTCTGGTTGGTCAATTTAGAGTTAAATTTAAAAAAAAAGTGTTATTTGTCAAATTAGAAAAATATCGAATTAGTTTGTATACGCCTGTCAAATTTGACGAGAGTATTATGGTAAGGGGGTTGTCCGTCCTTCCGTCCGTCCGTCCATCCGTCCATCCGTCCGGCGTGAACTTTTGTTTGTCTGGCAATCTCCTCCTACATTTTCCGGCCAATCTCTTTAAATCTTGGGTTACATCATAATCATGATGTGAAGTTGTGTCTCCCTTAAAAGAATTTTGATTCAACAATTTTTCCAAAAGTTATTGCCCTTTGTTCATTTCAGTATTTAATTTTTGTCCGGCAATCTCCTACATTTTTCGACCGATATCTTTGAAACTTGCTATACATCATAATCATGATATGAAGTTGTGTCTCCCTTAAAAGAATTTTGATTCAACGAGTTTTGCAAAGGTTATTGCCCTTTGTTCATTTCAGTATCTGATTTTTTGTCCGGAGATTTTCTCCCACATTTTTTTTATAGCATGTCAGCTAACCACTCTTAGAATGATGCAAATCTTATTATGTAAGAAAGTATATAACACTATATGACATTCGACGGGCGTATATTGTTCCGTCCCGCGGTACTCTTGTTACTGTTTAAAGATAAGCATAACACACACGAGAGGTGTCTGCACTTTTACAATTTAGCAATAAATACAGTATGCTAAAAATGAATTACACGATACCATACAGCTGTTTCGTCCTAAGACTCATTGGTGATACTAGGGGCCAAAACATTGGAAATCGACAGGTTAAAAAATTAATAAGGTGTTCTTATTTGATTATGGAATTGCCTTTGTAGCTATGCGTAGGATCCAGACTTGTCGAAGTTGATGGTGTGTTTTCCTGTTTCTGATGCATTGTATGTTGACGCCTAAAACTAAAACAATGTATCTCTCTTTTACAGCTATGATGAAGAATTGATGGTGTGGGATACTCGTAAGATGAGGTCCCCCCTAGTGACCACGTCCCTGGGTGGGGGAATCTGGAGAATAAAATGGGAGCCCAAGCATGGACAACACATCCTTACTGCTACTATGTACAATGGTTTCCATGTTGTAGATGCGAGCAATCTCACAGGTAGGGACCATTACCTATACAGATACATGTACCTGTGTGTCTTTAAAATATTTCATGCATGTGTGTATTACCATCCTCAATACTTGAGGGGCTTCGCTCGCTTCGTTCTCTGCACCCCTGGAATATGTCATGACAAAATTGAAGGCTCAGTATGCGCCACATAATAATACAAGTAGACTAGATTGATCCTTGATGTATAACGTACATCATATATAAGAATCGCACAGCAGCATAATGGTAAAATTGACTGGCTTTCAAGTCGGTTGTTACTCCTCTCTAATCTTCAAAGGACAGATTTTTGTTTTTTTCATGAGTTTCCATTTCATATGAGATTTATGAAATGAGTCTTAAGAATTTTTCAATTTAGCGAGCCTCTGGCGAGCTCAAATGAAAAATTTCTGACGAGTTTCATAAATTTCATCTGAAATGAAAACGAGTGTAAGATCCTTTATATTCCATGATCAAGATTTGTGGCATTTATTTCTGTAAAACGACAATTTTCATGCAACCTTGAAAGGAAACGTCCTTTTGACTCCATTGTGCAAGTCTGTGATGTCATGTACTGGTCCTAGTCATGACGTTACAATTGAAACAATTGAAACTTACAACCAATCACAGGGCTGATAGGTCATATTACACGGGTTAATACGCAAACAAATATGACATGGGTATATTCACTGGATAACACAGTACATTATGTGATTGTTTGTTTGCCTGAGACCAATCTTCATGCCTTCAAATTTGCCACAACATTTTCCTGAGTTACAGAGAGGGTAACAGAGTGTAACCCCTGGTGCTCTATAAACTTGTGTGTATTTCAAACCCTCTGAACTTACAGGATTTGTCGTAATTAGCACCCAGGGCATTGAAAAGTTATCTTAAATGGGGGCTTATTATAATAAAATGACAGTTAGTATAGAACCAGTTGTGTAACGTCAATCGTTGCTAGGATATTATAAACAATCCAGTGTGGATGGAGGTTTGGATGTCAAATGTTTCATCATCTACATGGGAAGTTTAGGTCATGATTACCAGACATAAATCCCTGTTTTAAAGTGAAAGTACTATAAATCATTGACAGGGCCAGGTCAGGTCTAGGAGGGGGTCCGGTCTATATCATTTAAATTCCTCCCAAACAGGGGAGGGGCGCTTATTACGACAAATACGGTATGTGTCTTATAACTTTAGAAAACTTGTACATGTATTATAAATAGTAGTTAGTTTGTGTATATAATTAATATTATGATCTAAATTTGTGTATGTTACAAACCCATGTGTATTAAAATTGTAATTATCACAGAACCCTGTGTATTATTACAACATACATCTAAAGTTTTCCTGAACTTGTATATATTTGTCTTTCAGAAGAGCCACTTCCTATTCTGTGTCACTATGACAAACACACATCCCTGGCTTACGGAGCGGATTGGTGCTACATGGATCCCCCCTCTCCCTCCTCACATGCCCCTGGGGAGGGGGCAGACAAAAAGGACTTGCCCATCCCCTCGGGGAATACAGGCAGTGAACAAGGTCAAAGTGCATCACAGGTTCCTGTTAACAATGACTTCCTAAAAACTATAGCGACTTGTTCATTTTATGATCATATTCTCAATTTGTGGCAAATCAATCTCAATTCATCATTAGGATAGGTTTTAACTCGTTAACCCCTGTGTAACTTAAGTTAACTCTTCCATTCATTGTTCTGGAGGAGTCCATTTTGGTCTCCAGTGGTGAAAGGGTTAAGTGAAAATTCTCGTCAATAAAATATTATCAAAAAAAAACGTTTCTTCTCTTTTCTTTTGAAGCCTTTTTTTAGCATATCACAATCGGATGTGATTGGATTGGTTATATAAGATGTGATTCTTTGTGGCAGAACTAGACCAAGACGTTCACTGTTGACTATAGATAGCTTAGTCATTGACATCTCATCAGACAAGTATGGGGTCCCAGATTTAGTTGGGTTTACAGGTAATAGACACAACATATCCTATGCCTATATTCTAATATGTAATTAGTAAAGGTAAATAGCGAAATGCTAAATCAAGTCCAAGAAAACGACGAAAAAAATAAAAATCGTGAGCCCGGCGGTCAAAACTGTGTTTAGATCTCCTCACAAATCCCCATTTTACCATTTAAAACAATCCGTTTGAAAATTGATCGACTTACCTCCAAAATATGACATTTGAAAGTTGGAGAAATCGCCTATTCAGTTAGCGAAACATTTGGGACGTCCAGAACTTTTGTTGAAAAACGGCTATTTTTAACGGGATATCAACGATTTTCAGGGGTAACCATCCTTGACGTGTTTCCAAATTGATATTCCCATTATGGCACGTTAGAAATTTAAAATAAAATCTGAAGAAGAAAAAAGAAAAAAAAAGATCAAATTGAGGTCTTGACCTTAGGTACCTGTGGCGACTTGGTTGCTTCCTCCATTTCACTTACATTGTATGCAATGTGAATCGGGAAAGACTGGAGACACAATGCATAAACTTTATAAATAAATGTAGCTTATGATTTCAGGAGATATATGCATTGATACTTCCAATGATTAAAAGGATTTGTCGTCCGCAAAGAATTTGGAAAGGCTTTTAGGATTATCAGATATAAAATGAACAGTAAAGGACTTAGTGCTGAGCCTTGGGGGACACCATGGCCAGCATTAATAGTTTAAACATAAAAGGAGGGGATGCCAATTTAGGCCTTATTGTGGCCATCACCGATACGTTTTAGTTTTATTCATATACATAGATAAACAACCATTCCGATATATGAAGGGATTAAGTGGGGGACCAAAATCACAAACGGCCTCTTTTTGACAAAACCCTTCATACCCTTTTCAACTGTAGCGGAAATGGACTGGGTCGTTTGCCGCCGACCATGTTGCTTAATTGGTACGTAGATCGAGCGTCCGTCTAGAGTTTGGAAAGTCCCGGGTTTAGAACCTCGGTTTGGCCGTGTATTTTCCCGCTCCTATTACATTTGGTGTCTGTGACCAACCCTTGTTTCAAGTACTGGGTGAATACTTGATGAGGGGATACACGAACCTGGGTTGTACAGTATATGGTTGTGTCTTCGAGGGCAAAGACTTAGAAAAAGGAAGGAGGAATGTAGCGGAATGGGACTGGGTCGTTCACCGGCGACAAGGTTTGTAGCTCAATTGGTAGAGTGCACTTCTAGATCGGAGGGTCCTGGGTTCAAACCCCGGTCCAGCCGTGCCATTTATTCATAAATGCCATGTTTTTCACACAAAGGCCAAACAATAGCTGCTTTTTTTTTTGTTTGGAGATGCCTCTGACTTCAAGATAGATTAGTCCACAATAAAAAACAAATGTACATCTAAATACTTACGTTTTTGGAATACAGTGAGTGTGCTGTAGAAAATGAATTTCGTCTGTCAGTGATTTGATCAAATTCAGAATTATCTTCAGTGCAATGATTAAAATAAATGGATGCCCATTAAAGTATGATATTCTTTTCCAGTTTTGACTGATATTTTGGCTAACATAATGGGATGTTAACCACCCCTTGACCAGGGATGTGTGGTACACATCCCTGCCTTGACACACACCTAACATATTTTTATTTTGGGCTGAGGTCCATATTTCTGTGAGTTAAATGCATACATGTACGAGAGCCTGTTTCGTCCAAAATGATAAAGAGTATGTTATCTGGACTATAGCACATATTTTAACTTGATACCATCTCATAAATTATAAATCGTTGGATCCAAATATTGTAGCGTAAAATCTCAAGCTACTTTCGCACATAGAGGAAGGAAGTGGAGAAATAAAGCAATACACAGGAGCGCACTTCCCAAATACCGTTTCCTTCGCAGAACGCGCCCCATTGGAGAGCGCTCCCAAAATACCATTACACTGTTCTACTCATCAGCGCATCGCGCCCCGGCGCTCAAGGCCTTCTAAAAACCTGCTGTCACCCAGGCATATAAACACCTTGTTATACTGCCACCAGAGTCTAATAATAATTGCAAAATGGTTTGACGATATACAGAGGGAAATATATAAAGGAATCGTTTGATATATTTAGTTTTTTTTTGACAAACCCTGCTTTTCATATAGATAAATCCCACATGTCTGATGAGTTTTGTTTTATATAACAAACTATTTACGCAAAATTCGAAACAATCACATCATCTCAACCAACTCCGTCAAAGCACAAAAGATGATTCCGCACTTTCACGGAGTTGGCCGGAAAGTTACGACGGGATTATAAATGGGCAGGTAACTGCACGTCATTCTCTATACAGGGAGATAACTCTGCGCAACAATAGTATGACGTAACGTCAATTGTTCAATATCCCCTTCACAACAAGCGGCTAGCTAAAACAACGACACGTATTTTCTCAGGATAAAACCATAGACGAGTATTTAAAGCACCATGAACAACAACAATAACAACCAGGTAAGGTACATTTTGAGCATAAAAAAAATATTGTTTTACATAATTATAATGTGATGAAATTGACAGATTATTTTAAGTTGAATAGAAATTAGATACTTTAATTTAAATGACATAATTTCCCTGATTTTGTGGTGAAATTGCTTTGTTATTTTTATGAATCAAGCATAATTATGATGTCATAATTCATCAATTTTATTTTTATAGCACTTGATCAAATTATTTCTAAATGAATTGATCTTCTGCATGGTAAAATGTTTACCTAGCCGAGTTATCTGTTAATACCAGTCGTTTTGCATTTTATATCAGATTCTTGACGTATTGGAAGGATGGCCAAGTGATGTGTACGGCTTTTTGAGGGGGACACGGCCAAACGGATTGAACTTGTGGGTTACTTTCATGTCGGAGGACAAGGTAAGCTTTAAAGTACACAACATGTCAATCCTAGCATCTAGAAATCCTTAAAATCAATCCGCTAACAGGGAAATGAAAATTATATATTTATCTCGACACCATTAACTTATTTTTGTCTTTTTTAAAGTCCGCTCTAAACAATTATTAACTATTTAGTAACGTATTTTTTCCTTTATATAAGGTCGGACTGAACGATACAAACGACGAGAAACAATGCAGATTGCCTGACATCTGGGAGGAGGAACGGAATAAGACGGATGAGGAGCAAAAATGGGTTAATGAGGAGGAGGAAGGGATGAATGAGGAAGAGGAACATTACAACCCTTACATTCGGTTGTATGCCGACTGTGAAGATTGGGGGTATGGCGACGGGATGCCTGCGGCCTGGCGACAATAAATCGAGGTACAGCCATTTCACAAACTATGAGCTGATGTCAGTTCTAATTTTCGTTTGTTCTCAGAAGATTTACTTAAAAAATATAACTGTGTAATTGTCTTTCTACATGTAAATATACACTTCTGAAATAATGCATATAGATGTGTAACACAAATGTTTTTATCTTTTTTTTCCATTTTTCATTTCAGTTCACAAAAACCTTATGAGAAGTCAATCGCGCTAGCGACAAATGAGATGCAGCATGTTGAATGCGGGGGCTGTCGGACCCGGAACCGCACCAGAATGAAAACACCGAACTGATGATTTCACAAAGTAAAAAAAAAAGCCGTATAATTTTATCATAAGTCTGTAGTTCTTTCAAAGTTTGACAATGCCCATTGACTTAATATTATTAAACGAAGTATCATACAGGCCCATATTCGTACATTCTGTGCTTGGCTTTGAAGGTTAGTTGGATCCAAGCGGAAGTGAACATTTAATAGAAACATATTTGTTTGTACAAAATCTGTTCATTCTGAGTGATAGTATTAAATTCAAATTTAATTGTATCAACAAAATTTGATATATCTATTTTGATTTTTGGTATATACATTTTTCATTTCAATTAGGTTCTTTGTCAAAACAATTCTTGTGACGTAGTGATGACAATTACTGCTTACTATTTATAAGCTATGTTGTACACATAATCTGATGTTTTTGTCAATAAAATATATCTAACATTTGTATGTGTTTGTTCTATCGCAACATATCGGCAAACTCCGTTAAAGGACAGTCTCTGCTTTCTGTTTTCTATATCAGTTTCATTGACATATAGACTGTAACCATTTTAGCCCACCAGATCCCACTTGAACTAATTAAACTTATGAATGCAATTCTGAATATTGGGACGCGGCTTCACGGCTACGTTAGGCAGACGCCTGGCAAAATCCTTTAAAACATATGTTTGCAATCGGATCATTTCGCCCGTTTACGTCGCATGCTCACGGAAATGGCCGAGTGTGGTCCAACGGAATGTGAGTGCCGGAGAGATGCTTTTTTTCTCACCAGAACCTGCCTGCACGAAACATCTTAACTAAATTCTCAATGTGAATGTCAATGTGAATTTGTGCCGTGATGTGGCATTCGTCATCATTATTCGTATACCGAACGACCAAGAGACAGAGGGGGGTGATATTTGGCTACGCTGGGATGAAATTTGTTTAAACGAATGACCTGGAGCTGCATTCAAAGTCACAGGGGTCAAAGTTGTTGTAACTTTCAAAGGACTTTTATTGACTAACCACGAGGCCAAGGTTGATGTTTCTAGGCTATTCGTAAGCTGTCAAGTGCCAATGACTTCCTGTACATATCTAAGATACCTGATGTCCTGATGTGATGCTATATTTGACTATAAGTATACTGGAATGAAGGGTTACCAATTTGTTCAAATGAATGACCTTGACCTACTTTCAAGGTTTTCCGAATAACTAAGAGGCAAGTTCTTGATATTCATTATTTAGCATGAAATGGTGGAAAGCGATACGAAACGAGGGATATCATTTGAAAATCAGATTAAGAAAAATAAGATGAAATCTTTCAATGAAGATTCATTAGGTGAAATTATGATATTCAGCCTTTTTAAACATAACAACGTAGCCATCTCTGAAGGTTACAGCTGTTAAATCAATGACAGGTGAGCAAGACAACAACAATTCCGATATTTTGTGGCCGACTTTCAGACAGGTATAAAACGGTATATATTTTTGTTGAAATACCGCATGGCACACTTTAACTTAAGGGGCTGCGTAATTAAGGCGTCTGACCATCTAGTAGCATTAGCCCGCCACAATAGAAACAAACGATTCTATATATTGTCCCATTTTCCTTCAGAATGACCTACCAAACCTAATTCAATATTAATATTTCAAAAATATACCATTATACAAAAAATTGTCCTCTGACCACCAGGTCTCAAGCCTATACTGGTGGAGGAAGTCCCCGCCAAGCACATAAGGGGTCATAATCTCTTTATTTCTCATTATATCTTATGATATTTACCATTTTTCTTCAGAATAACATAATAAAAGATATAAAACATAAATATTTCACACACACACACCATAATAGCAAAAATGTATATCTTGCCACAATAGCAACTCCTAACACCAAGAGTTGTCCGCCTTTCCCGATAACTTATAGGCAGTCTTCAAGGAATCACCAGACAAAAACTGTCATAATTTTTTTATTTCTCATGATGTCTTGTTGATATTTGCCAGTTTTCTTCATTATAACATACTCAAAAAAATACTATATTAATATTTCATATATATATCATTATAAAAAAAAAAACAGTTCGCTGACCACCATGACAACTTACTGTATGTCTCAAGCCTTTACTGGTGGGGAAGTCCCCTCCAAGTAAATATTGGGGCATACTTTCTTCATTTCTCATGATATCTTGATGATATTTTCCAGTTATCTTCAGAATAACATAATAAAGGATATAAAACATTAATATTTCACATATATACCATTATAATCAAAAATTATATCCGATCACCATACCACATTATAACACTATAATACAATAGCAATACAATTTCATTTTCATATAGTGCATATTTCTTCAGAATTACATTTTAAAGGATATGAGATATCAACATTGCATAAATATATCATTCTATAAAATGTTCAATCTGCACACGATTCCTACCTATGGCTCAAGTCTAACTCTGGCGGGGATTCACCCGCCAGGTTAAGCCCCTGTCACACCTAGCCGCGTTGCCACTGCGATTGCACGGCGTTGTTAAAGTTCGCAGAGCGCCGTGAGATCGCAGGAAAAATTGATATTTTTCATGAAGATGGCAATGTTACGGCGTTCTCACGGCGACCTTTACGTTTCAACGGAGCTCCATGGCGTTCTACCGCGTTCCTACGGAGATCTAGTTGGCAATTGTCTGCGCTCTCATGGCGCCCTCATGGCGCTTCCACTGCGTGCATCGAGTTTTCACGGCGCGTATAAGCGCGGTAGAGACACAGTGTCATCTCAAAGAACGCCGTGCAAGCGCCACCTTTAACCATTGCGTTCGCATTGCGACCTCTGTGCGCGCCCGCGGCGATCCTGTGGCGTTATAGGAGACCTAACTGCGCTGCTACGGCGACCTCACAGCGATCCCACTGCCCTCTTATCAGAACGCCGAGCGACGGCGTTTGTTTTCGGGATGCTCAAAGTGCGCGCCGTCGCTCGGCGTTCTATGCGATCCAACCGCGTTCACTGGCGATGCCACTGCGTTGCCGCGGCGATGCTTGCGATTCCACTGCGCGCAGATCGGCGTTCTGGATTTCTCTTGCACGCCGTGGGAACGCGGCCCTAGTGTGGGAGTGATGACCAGATATTGAAAAAAAATCAAACTCAGAGTAAGTAAACCAAGTGTTAATATTTCGTTATATTTGCATAAGGAGAGTAGTTCCTGAAATTTCATGAAGATATCTCAACCAAAACAGATTTTATGAGGAAAAAGCTAAATAAAAGCACCCGTAATCTCCTGTGACCTATTTCTGAAGGTCCTAAGAAGGATTTTTTTTTATTATTTCTTAACTAATCTCAAATTTGAACTTATTCTTCTGAGCCAAGTTTTATCTCATTTGAGTGATAAATAAAAAAAATAGGCCGAATAAGATATGACATTTAGTAAATGTCCTTACAGTAATCTGGTGATCTCTATTTTAAAGTTTAAAGTGCTAATTAGAAATATCTAAAGAATGATGTGATCTCAACTTCACTTTGTCTGCTGACAATTATGTTCCAAAATGTATTAATCCAGAGTGTTATGTATCTTTGGTAAGGTGGTATTCGAATTCGAAAATGAGTTCAAACTGAGTAGACAAGGTCTGTGTCCTGAATTTTATACCTTCAGTTATTATGAGAACTAATCAAGAAAGTGTTCTGATGGTACCCTGAAGGGTTAACTTAAACACCTATTTCTAGTCTTACCTGTACTATAATTACCCATATCCTGCCAATTAGAGCGAATAGAATTTACCTGAGTTATTTCATCGAGTATATCACACCTTACCTGAACGATAATTACTCATATCCTGTCAAGAGCGACTACGGATTTTACCTGGATTATATCACGGAAAATAACACACATAACCTGTACGATAATTACACATATTTAGTTTCTTTTTTCTCTCTCAAAAATTCAAACTCAGATTTTCGACTTTGGTTGAATTATTTGTACAAAATAAAATAAAGTTTTACACCCTATGACGACATATAGCGGCACAGTATAAAAATTATGGAGGCCCGCTATGATATTTTAGGGAAAATACATCACACCTGACATAATAAATTGATGTTGTGGCTGTATTTATAATTCTATCTCTCTTTATTGATAGTAAATATGTTTGGGAATATATTAGCTATTATATAAACCATAAAAAACATAATATGTACATTTTTGTAGTCAGAATGAGAAAAATATCAAGGCACGGTACGAGTATTTCTGAATTTGCCGATATGGTTATATATAATATTCGTTCATAACGATACATTTCGAAAATAAACTTCGTTATTACATCAATTTTCGACGTTGGTTGAATTATTTGTACAAAATAAACTAATGTTTAACACCCTAGGACGACATATAACGGCACAGTTTAAAAAACATACGGAGGCCCGCTATGATATTTTCGGGAAAATAGTCACACCTGACGTAATAAATTAATGTTGTGGCTGTATTGGTAATTCTATCTCTCTTTATTGAAAGTAAATATGTTTGGGACAATATTAGATTATTTTCCTGTATTTACCTGTTCACCAATAGGAAATACTGTGTTAGTTATAGGAATATTTAACAAATATATTTCCTGATTTTTCGTAATATTTACTAGAATTATGAATCAATATATACAATATTCAAGTTATTACTTAATAAAAACACATCAAAATACATTAACTGAAAATCTGCTTTTATTAATTTCATATAAAATCAATTTTATAAATTTTTATTATGCATTTACATGTATGTTATATATAGATTTCATAAAATAGAACTAAATTTAGCTAGAAATGTATGACAAATAAAATCAGTAAAGACAGAGATCATGTATTATATTAATAAATATGCAATAACAGATGCAAAGCTAGGAATGAAAATAAATAAAACGAATTAATTACATGTACACATGGAATACTCAGCGCTGGTTGATCAATTCAATCATATTCATAAAATACACACATGCACAAAGATACATGATATAAAACTAATATAATAGCACTAACTTACTAAAGGTGAAATATTGGAAAGTCAATAAAAATCACAGATAAGTCCATGATTTTAAGAAATCCTAGCAAAGCACCAAATAAAAATTCTATAACAAGCACATTTATCACAATGTCACTCTAAATGCAAAAGATTGGTTGTATATATTTGTGGATTTCACGTTACTGTTTTGTATGATCTAGCTGATGAAAATGGTATATGATATGAAAAAAATGTCTAAAAATGATGAAAATAGACTATATAAAAGCTACATGTATATGACAGGACTGTATATATGATAGAGATAATGTGGGAGAACACAGGTAAAAACCAGGTAAAATATATATGAAACAAACTATAACTGCTATCACAACATTACTGCCTCTATGTTTTTTTTAAAAAAAAGTGGGAGAAAGGAGAACACACCGATGACACCTTATCTCCTGTTCCATACGCCCGAGGGGTCTCTTTGAGTTTCTCTGAAGAAAGTTGTACTGTTTTAATCGCCTGAAGCGTGAAACTGTCGGAAACACCCGCCTTAAACCTGTGCTATTATCACAATTATTTCACGTGACAGTTGACATGGGATTAACGCTTCTCAATAGAGGATTAACTCTATCATTACTATAAAATCCGGGGCAGAATCGTTTCAAATCAGTTCGTTCTTCGATTCGAAAGCGAATACAACTCTTTGTTGCATTGAATTTTCTTTGCGAGTTTTGCATACCTATTTGCGAATTTATCCATCTTCGTACATAAACAAAACTGTTCAAGGTAAGAAATATTTCAATAATATCTTATTAAGGTTGACAGACATGTAGTGGAAATATTTAAAGGAAGCTAGTTCAGAGTTCATGAACAGCAGACAATTCTTGCCTAGCAATTCAGCAACTGACTTCTAATGAGAAGCGTAAATTATTATGAAATTGTCCTGACAAAATAAGTTATTTAAATGTTTTGTGGATTTCGTCATAGGGTATTAACATAGATTTTAATAGGTCATATAGTCTATTGATTCTTATAATGTATATAAGATACAAGTTAAAGGAACGGAAAACATCATATGAATGTTAAATTGATAATTTACCATGGCCACCATTAATCACATCAAACAATTCTATTTTCAGATGATATCATACATCACAGTACTTTTCTTGATAGGATTGGCAGCTGGCGATAGTGATCTTAAGCGGACAAACGCTGGCGTGATTTTTAAATCACGAGGAACAATTCAGAGTTCGTCCAGCGTTTGGTACCATACCTTCGCATTAGATCTGCCGACACTGCCAAACAAATGGCTGCATTACCAAATGGCGGATCCTGGTATGCCTCCAATGAAGTGTACAGGAAACCCGGGTGACAGTGAATGCAGCATGTCAGCAATGTCGATGTCAAATTTCATTATTTCATTGAATGCAGAGGTATGTATTTTTAGCAAATTATTTTGTAACTTGTGTTTTCGGTTTTTTTGGTAAAATAAAATAAAGTCAAACCTGTATTAAGAGGCCACCCAAGGGACCGGCAGAAATTGGCCGCTTAAGACAGGTGTCTGCTAAAACCAGGCTCACCCGAATATCACAACCAAGTTTTCATACATCCACGGGTTATAATGACATTTTCCCGGCAATATAGCCTGCTATGTTATTTTGATTTTTTCTCCCTTCATCAACAGGGGTACGATTTCATACTTGAATATAAATGTATAATCAATAAAATACAAAGGCGTTTTGGTGATTAATTTCCTAAAATGATAAATTTATTTTTGTTTGGCTACACAGGTGTTCCACATACGTTTTGCGCTAGCAGACAACACCAGTACTGAAATCTACATGTATTTATTAGCAAATTATTTTATAACTTATTGTTCCGTTTTTGGTAAAATAAAGTATTTTCTTACCTTAGTATTAAACAAACAATAATTTACTCGTTATTGACTTTTATAGGTTGTAAAGACGTTTGATCATTTATTGGACCTGACCAGAACTCTCATCCCAAAACATGTATCACCAGATCAAAAGAGAAGAAAATGGTTTGCCCCACTCTCAATTATTGGTTCGAGTTCGAAAACAATATTTGGAACAGCAACCGTAGAAGATGTTGAGACGGTTTCTTCCAATATCAACGAATTGATCAGATGACAGAGACTTACTGCTAAGACCATGGTTGCCCACGAAAGGAATTTCCAGTCATTTGTTAAGTTGTCTAGTTCACCTTTTAATGGGTTAAAGAAGAAAGTTTCTGATAATCACGAGGCTCTTAAAATGATAAAGAATCTTGAAATAAATAATACTGACACCATCAACCGGGGAATAGATTTACTTGAAATTGCAATGTTTCAGATGAATAGAACAAATTCCATCATTCACCACCTTCGCGATATTGGGCAAGCTATTGAACAACTGGTACAAGGTTATCTCTCACCTTTACTCGTTTCAGGGAAAGCCATCAGAAGTGTCGTCAAAGAGATCAACGACAAGATCATCGACATGACGAATACAAAAGATCACGGTGTACTTTCTGACTACGGTTTTGGTCATCATAACTCTTTTTTTTGTCAATTGCAAGGAAATACAATATTGATTACTCTTAAACTTCAGGTAGTACCATTGTTAGGAAAGACACATCTCTACCAGGTAATGGTGTATCCAGTTCCAACAACCAAACAAAGTAGACATGCAACAAAGATAGCAGGTCTTCCAGAGTATGTTATAATTTCTGACGATTACGGAGGTAGGAGGTATTCACCAATTACACCTGTTCAATTGTCTAACTGCAGAGGGATTCATCATGTGGTATGTCCATTTAATTTAGTTTACACAACAGTTTTAAAGGAAAACTGTCTTACATCCCTCATTAAAGATTCTTCAGATAAAATAGCAAAGTTTTGTGATTTTAGGTACTTCCGTGACCATCTGGAGCCGTCCATAGAGCCGATATCGGACAACAGCTTTTCGGTGTATGATATCCCCAGGCTCTCACTGAATATAAGAGGACATACCGAAGATGTCGAAGGCTGCCATCTTTGTATTATTACCATACCATGCCATGCCAGAATCGAGACTTATGACATGACCAGTGACAGAGTGCTTTCCCAGAAATGCAATAGCGAGGAGACCGAAGTGACACGCGATCATCTTGTAAACTTGGCGATGGTAAAGGCATTCATTGCAGAAAACAATCAGCTTGGATTTACAGCATCATCTGTCTTCAGTAAAGCACAGGATGTTAAAGTACCCAAATTTGACTTTTTCGAACACCGCTATCATGAATTCCTTACGACCGACCAGAAAACGAACCTTAAGCTGAACAAGATGGTAGAAGCATCAAAAAGACAGGAAAAAATATTTCAAAATATTGCAGAACCCTTTATCAAAGCTAGTGAAGAAAACGCCACTTGGTTAACCTCGAGTCTTTCCGTTGGAGATATTGTGGTAATAATATGCCTTATTGTTGGGACAGTGGTTTTCATACGACTTATTTTTATTGTGAAGAGATTGGGAGCAATTATTGCTGTTAGTACAAAAGGCGAAGAAGCATAATGAGAATCTACAAAATTAGACTCTACCATTCATGGCATGATAAAGTCTGGAGAACAATATGAAAATCTAGAACAAAAGATCAAGACGATAACTAATATATGTACACATATTATACAGAAACTGAGGCATTCTAACCAAGGAACACTAATGAAGACTAGGAAAAGAGTAAGATTTTAGTTATTGAACCAGTTATAGGCTCTTTTGTTCAGAAATATAAACCTGATTATACTATAAACAATAAAAAACAGATAGCTGACCAAATAAAAAGAATTTTATCTAAATATTAACCCACAAAGGATGAGTCACACCTGACGTAATTAATTAATGTTGTGGCTGTATTTATAATTCTATTTTTCTTTACTGATAGTAGATATGTTCGGAAATATATGAGCTATTATATAAACAATATAAAATCATTATATGTGTATTTTTGTAGTCAGAATGAGAAAAAAGTCAAGTCACGGTACAAGTATTTCTGAATTTGCCGCTACATTTATATATAATATTCGTTGATAACGGTAGATTATGAAAATAAACTTTATTATAACATTTTTCAACCTATGTTAAAGTTTTGTACAAAAAAAATAATGTTTAACACCCTAGGACGAAATATAGCAGCACAGTCATAAAAATAAGGAGGCCCGCTATGATATTTTCGGAAAAATACATCACACCTGACGTAATAAACTAATGTTGTGGCCGAATTGATAATTCTATCTCTCTTTATTGATAGTAAATATATTTGGGAATATATTAACTATTATATAAACAATACAAAAAACATTATGTGTGTATTTTTATAGTCAGAATGGTAGAGAAATAAAGGGACGGTACGATTGTATTTTAAATTTTCCGACATGTTTTTATATAGTATTGGTTTATAACAATTAATTATGGAATACAAGTTTAATATAATTTCACAATATGACCCTGATTCAAGTATTAACTTTAATAGTAATTATTAAGAAAACTATTGACCTTTACACTTCCACATCCCCGGGGGGTGTAACTATCAGAATGAGAGAAAAAAATCAAGGCACGGTACGAGTATTTCTGAATTTGCCGGTTATATGTAATATTCGTTCATAACGATAAATTATGAAATTAAACTCGTTATAATATCATTTTTCGACTTTGGTTGAATTATTTGTACAACATAAACTAATGTTCAATACCCTAGGTCGTCATATAGCGGCACAGTTTAAAAACTACGGAGCCCCACTATGATATTTTCGAAAAAATACATCACACCTGACGAAATTAATTAATGTTTTGGCTGTATTGGTAATTCTATCACTATTTATTGATAGTAAATATGTTTGGGAATATGTCATTTTTGAGTTGTAAGTGAACTTTGATAAATGAAAAAACAAATCAGGACCTGGAACTCACTTCAGCCACAGGTGTTGAGCAAATATTATATGATATATATAATATACAATACTAATAATTGATATCTTATACATGTACTTATAGCATATAAAGGGTGTCATTCACCTTTTAATTCACTTAAAATTGAGAGATATTTGAAAAAGCCAAGCTTGAGATGTGTCCAGAAGCCATAACTCATAACAAAAGGAAAGTGTATAGTCAATATGCAATTTATGCAAGTCTACTTAAATGAGTGAAGTTGTAAATTTCAAGTCAAAATATTATTTAGAAAGGAAATTATTGAGGAAACAAATTACTTTTCAACTGAAAATGACCGAAAAGACCCCCCTGACTTATTCCTTCGTTTTATATAAACAATCTTTAAGTGACGATTGAATTTCTGTCATTTTTCATTCTGTTACATATGCTTGTTTATTTATACATGTTTTCAAAAACAGAAATGGCATTATTTAGGTTTTTAAGCTCATTTTGAAAACAGCAAACTTTCGGTCATATTTGTTCATTTCATTTGAATAGACGTTATGAATCGTAATATGGGCATAAGGTAAAGAAGTGGGACCTTGACTTTTATTTATGATACTAGACACTCAGTCTTGGTTAATTACAATAGCTCAATACAATGAAATAAACATGAAATTTAATTAATTTCTGGTTCAAGTAAACATTAAATAATTTTTCTGATGATCATCAATTTTTAGATTTTTCGTCTTGAAATTTGGATCACACATTAGCGACTTGCGAAGTCGCTGATATGTGATCGATTTTTAGGGACTGAAATGTACATGTCTAAAATAGCATGTAAAATGCGGAATTATAACAGTTTCAACATAACATTACACACAACGTTTGTTTACATCAAGGACATCACAAACATACCAAAGGGAGACGTATACAACGTAAATTATTTTTTTTATCTTATTAAAGTTATTTTAGTCCTAAAATGTTGATCACATATAAGCGTCTTGTAATATGGGCATAAGGTAAAGAAGTGGGACCTTGACGTTACTTATTTATGATACTAAATACTCAGTCTTGGTTAATTATGCTCGTGCCCCACCCCACACATTATAATAAATATTTTCATATCCCTCTTTAAAGGTCGTTTTCGATTTCCTTCTTACCTGCCAACTGGTAAATTTGACTTTTTGATCATATATTTCTGTTTACTATATTAATGCACGGAAGTAATGTCGTTTCTCGACTGTTAGTGAGTGCAATTGGTTGTCTGAGACCCGGGTCACATAACAAACAACGTATATATACCTCCCTTTTAGAACATAAACACTTGCAATAAGTACTCTTTTATAATAAAGAAAATTATTTGTATATATTCCTTTCTGGTAAAGAAGATAATACTGTAAAGGTTTTTCATAAATCATACATTATAAGCCTTCTTGGCCCCTTTTTATCGCCCTCCCACGACACATAAAAACTAATGTGTGAAATCTATACGAAGTTACAGCGACTGGCGTAGATGGGCTTCTTCAACAACATCACCATCATCATCATCATCATCATCATCAATCATCATCACTAGCGGTTCATTCTTTCTTAGTCGTTAGACGAGAAAAACTGTTGGTAAGTGTGTTAAGAAATTGTTTGCATTGAACTCATGTACGACGTAATAATAATAATAATATACAACATTTATATAGCGCCCTGTATAATTTGTAAAATTACTCTAAAGCGCTTTACAACATATGGATAATAGTAATGGTTATAATTGTGAGGGCGGGGTAGGGGGGTCGCAGTTGAGCGGTACGGCTGAAATAGCGCTTTATTCTCAGCCATGTTCTCTATTACACGCGTCACGACTCGAATAGGAGTTACGTCCCTTTGTACACTCGGTAATGCTTGTATGCTAGTTATTACTCAGCTTGTTATTTTAAATGTGTATTTGAGTCAGACCATTCATTGTTACTCTGTTAATTAACAGCTATTTGAGAGAGATTACTCATTGTAATAGACCATACTAGTTAGTAGCTAACTAACGCGATCATTATTACTTAATTGTCACATCTCCACGTAGATAATTTAGAGCAAGGCAGTTCGGTCATATGCTATGTAGTTTTCTCTATGTAATGATCAATGTTCATCATGATAATAGTTCTAGATACTGTCATATCTCTATATGTTTGTAGTTGGGAATTAGTTAAGATAACACTCACTGTGCACTCTGCCAAAAGTTCCGATTTTATTAAGGAAGACATCTCCCGCCAGATATGTTACGATAAACCAAAATAGGGAAGGTAGATCAAGAACAAACACATACAAATGTTATATATATTTTATTGACAAAAAAAATCAGATTATGTGAACAACATATAGCTTATAAAAAGTAAGCAATAAGTGTCATCATTACGTCACGAGAACTGTTTTGACAAAGAACCTAATTGAAATGAAAAAAATATACCAAAAGTCAAAATAGATATATCAAATTATATATTTATACAACTAAATTTGAATTTAATACTATTTTGATGCATTTCAATCGCTCAAAAAGAACAGATTTTGTACAAACAAACAGATATTTTTCTATAAAATGTTCACTTCCGCATGCATCCAACTTAACCTTCAAAGCCAAGGATAGAATGTACGAATAGTGTCCCTTTTGATACTTCGTTTAATAATATCAAAGTCAATAGTGCAATGTCAAACTTTGAAAGAACTACAGACTTATGTTCAAATTATACGTCTTTTTTTTTACTTTGTGAAAACATCAGTTCGGCGATTTTCATTCTGGGGCGGTTCCGGGTCCGACAGCCCCCGCATTCAACATGTTGCATCTCATTTGTCGCTAGCGAGATCGACTTCTCATAAGGTTTTTGTGAACTGAAATGAAAAAGGAAAAGAAAAATACCAGATTAAATCCATGCGTTACACATCTATTACATGTAGAAATAATACGCTGTAATATTTTAAAAGTAAATCTTCGGAGAACAAACGAAAATTTGAGAAGAATTGAAATCAGCTCATAATAACTACTAAACGCTTTCATGTATCTTGAATTCATGTATGTGAAATTACCTAATTTAAGTTTACCTCGATTTATTGCCTCCATGTCTCTGGCATACCGTCACCATATCCCCAATCTTCACAGTCGGCATACAACCGGAGGTACGGGTTGTAATGTTCCTCCTCCTCATTCACACACTTCTGCTCCTCATCTGTCTCATTCTGTTCCTCCTCCTCATTCACCCACTTCTGCTTCTCATCTGTCTCATTCTGCTCCTCCTCATTCACCCATTTCTGCTCCTCATCTATTTCATTCTGTTCCCTCTCCCAGATGTCAGGCAATCTGCTTTGTTTCTCGTCGTTTGTATCGTTCAGTCCGACCTTAAATGAAAGAAAAAAAATACGTTACTAAATAGCAGATTTAACTTTTAGTGCGGACATAAGAAAAAGACAATGATAAGTTTATTTTATCGGAAAAACAAAATATAGTATCGAGATAATTATGACATTTTTATTTCCGTGTTAGCGGATTGATTTAAAGGATTTCATTATGCTTATTAAGATTGACATTTTGTGTAGTATAAACATTACCCTGTCCTCCAACATGAAAGTGACCCACAAGTTCAATCCATTTGGCCGTGTCCCCCTCAAAAATCCGTACACATCACTTGGCCATCCTTCCAATACGTCAAGAATCTGATATAAAATACAAAGTAGCTATAATCAAACACTCAGTTAGGGGGACCTTTTCATCTTAACCACGCATCAGATAAATTCAATGTAGAAATAATTTGTGCATGTGTATTTGAAATAAAATTATAACTTTAAATTAAGACATCGTATGCCTGGTTCTTAAAATTAACAAGAGAAGTTCACCGCAAAATCAGGAAAATTATTTTACTAATTAATTTATCTCTATTCTATTCAAATTAAAATAGTCTTTCAAATTTCTCCACCATATAGAGAAGAAACATTCTAATTCCAAAAAAAATATCTTACCTGGTTGTTATTGTTGTTGTCCATGGTGCTTTAAATACTCGTCTATGGTTTTATCCTGAGAAAATACGTGTCGTTTTGTTTTAGCTAGCCGCTTGTTGTGAAGGGGATATTGAACAATTGACGTTACGTCATAATATTGCCACACAGAGTTATGTCCCTGTATAGAGTATGAGGTGCAGTTACCTGCCCATTTATAATCCCGTCGTAACTTTCCGGCCAACTCCATGAAAGTGCGGAATCATCTTTTGTGCTTTGACGGACTTGGTTGAGATGATGTGATTGTTTCGAATTCTGCGTAAATAGTTTGTTATATAAAACAAAACTCATCAGACATGTGGGATTTATCTATATGAAAAACAGGATTTGTCAAAAAACCTAAATATATCAAACGATTCCTTTATATATTTCCCTCTGTATATCGTCAAACCATTTTGCAATTATTATTAGACTCTGGTGGCAGCATAACAAGGTGTTTATATGCCTGGGCGAAATCAGCTTTTTAGAAGGCTTTGAGCGCCGGGGCGCGACGCGCTAATGAGTAGTACAGTGTAATGGTATTTTGGGAGCGCTCTCCAATGGGGCGCGTTCTGCGAAGGAAATGGTATTTGGGAAGTGCGCTCCTGTGTATCGCTTTATTTCTCAACTTCCTTCAAGGTGTTTACAGGTGTCTCCGTGTCCGAGTCATCTGAATCTTCATCTTTAGCACAATGTACACGAAGACGGAGTCGCCTATAAAATCTCTCCATATCCTGAATTAATACCGCATTGTTGGGATTTCTGGGGGTAGGACAGAAATTGAGACCTTTAGAGAGGAGCGAGTTCTCTTGTTCTGAAAGGTTGTGGCCGGAAAGGTTTACTACTGTGTTGTTGACTGCTTTGTTAGTAGATTTATGTTTGGTGCGCCGTCTCCTCTTACGGGGTTTACGATTAGTGGGAGTCGCGTTGGAATTTCTTTGTTCGTTTCTCATGCAGAGAGGCACGTCTTTTGTTCTCGAAGTGTTTTATCTTTTGTAGGAGTGTCGTTGTTTCATTTTCCGATGTTGTGGACTTTAAGTTATTAAGACCTGACGCCAGCTTCTTACGTGCAATACTGAGTTTCTTGTTACATACTCCCTGTAGCAGTGCAAAAATGATTCATCCGACAGACAGGCACTGTCTCCTCAAAGCGATTAGTGGCCGACTTTGACATAGAGCCAATAGAGCCAATATAAGGCGAGCACTTAGATTTTAAGCCTTTGTGTACAATATCTGCCTGCAGTTACGAGCAATGATACTTTTAATATTTTAAATTACACCAGGTTGCTGTTCACCACTGGATGTCGGAATACTAAGGGGTCGGCATAGAAAGTTTTCATTTTATGCAATTAATTTAGTGTGTGTTGAATACCTCAGTGACATGTACAGTCCTCGACACGTGTCCATATCCAAAATTACTCCAACCAGTTTATCCTCCCATAATGCAGTAATGTAATGTACTCCCCTATATATTTTACCCCCAACAACACTTTACAATCCTTTTGCATCTCTTTCCCTTCTTCCTCCTCCATCCTCTTCTCTCCTATATACTTATATCTATATGCAAAATATTCGTCAGTGCCGTCCAATCGCTGTTTTACAAAAAAGGAGACGGATTAACATAAGTACTTTGTACTTGTTTTCGAATCCTATATGTATATCATGTTTGCATTACTGGAAATTTATATTGATAATAAAATAAAGTTTAAACTAATATTTCGTTTAGTATTTTACTACATGGCTGGTTCATTAAATTTGTTTCAAGACTAACTCAATTCATCACCCCATGAAATCGACCAAAGCAAGATTCAAGTATAATTTGAGCGCGCTTTCTCTCTCTCGGGCTTCAATCAAAACTCCCGGATTATTTTGGTATATGCATGTAACTTTGCGGACTTAATCAATCTGTGCTTTATAACGAACATTTCATGGTTAAGATATCAAAAGTCATACTAATGCGACTACAGTTATTTGATCACATGTTCTTTTACTTCTTAACCTTTACCTTCAAGTTCAACTCGGTCTTTGTCTAAATCGGCTGTACTTGTCATATTTAAATCGTGCGTCAAACCTGAAACGCAATGACGTCAAAGTTATGTTCCACTATTGTGACGTCAAAGTCATGTTCCACTATTGTGCGTCGATATATTTTACAACCAATTCGTTCAGTGTTGATGTAATTTTTTACATTTGTGCAATTATCAACCTTTTTGTATTTCTAATTTGATGTAATCGTTCCCGTAAATGTATATTTGTACAGTGTTGTTTGGCCCTATACGACTGGCATTGCCAATGGTCCGTGAAACAATACAAAAATCTAAAGACAAAATAAAAGCAAATCTGTTAATATTTTGTCGTTGTTGTCTACAAATAACTATGTATGTGCTATTGCTAGACATCCTTGAACTCCCACTAACAGTATTTTCCTCCGATTTATCTATTATTAAAATAATATGTTACTTGAATATAATTTGAATATGTAATTTGTATTTGGAATTACAGTAAGTGACGAAATATTTTATCACCGCTGTTTCTTTTTTTGTTTTGTACTTTTTTATATTTTTTTCCATAAAAATGCAAATATATCATGCATAAACATTATTCCTCTCACACATTACAATTCATTCATTAAATATTCATTTATAATAAACTGCATATTTCCAGGTATAATTAATTATGTTTATGCATAATTAAATTACAGCTAAATTATGTCTGTTATATAAAAGCATTGTTTAGAAGTGATAGAAAGGTCCTAGAGGTATAATAGGGAATGTAAGACTAAGAGAGAGAAGAAAAAAATGAGGGGG